GGAACAGATGGATCTAAAGTAACTAGAAATAAGAACTTGACCATAGCTAATCCATGATAAGTATATTGTGACTTAAACTGGCATATTTCTGATTTGCAAATTAGTGGAATCCATTTTACAAGTAGTGATTTACATTTCTTTTGTTAGTTCTCTCTTCAAGCTGTCATCAGGGTTATTTTTAAATTTTATTAGTACCCCTGTTTACTCAGCCTAAGCTGCAGAATAGACCATTATCTTCTGGAAATGCAATCAGTCCATATCTACACTGTTTTTCAGTGGGTCATGATCATGTATCAGGTTTGTGATTGTCATAATATCTCTAGTGGAAGATTTTCTTGCTGTTTGTGTAAAATGATCATTTGACATTATGGTGGCTGCACTGCATTTAAGACTCTGGAGATCCCACATTGGTGATTGCAACATAGACCAACTGTACCGGGATTATTATATTATCCCTTATTTTCCAAAATCTGAACCTTTCAGAAAATAACCAAGTGACTTTTCCTGTAAATTGTATATGAGTTATTTTGCTTTGTCAGTATCTGAAGAATTAACACCAAATCTGGAGATTGTCAAGGACAAGGATCTTGAAGTACCATGATGAAAAGGCCTAAAAGTCTAGTAATCATTTAGAAATATGTTGTCCAGTATGTAAAACTCTTACAAAAATGATTTTCTCAAATCCACTGGGCACATATGAAGTGCTCAATAGCCACATGTGGCCAGTAGCTATTGTGTTAATGAAGTGGTGACTGACGGTGTAGAATATGAATTTTCCATCAATGCAGAAAGTTCCATTGTACAGATTTAGAAGCATCAACCAGCAGAGAGGGAAAAAAATAAATGAACAAGAGGACAAAAACCAAAAATATGCAAAGAAATAGCATTGCTAGCGTCAGGGGACGGAGAGCCTTATTCTGATAGCGTTAGGCAGTAGTAGTTTTCAGTGTTTTCTGCTTCGGGACCCAAAAAGTCCTGGAAATCAGTCACGGGTGATGTGTAGTGGTGATCACAGCAGCAGTGTCCATCAGGTTATTTCCTGTAAATAGTGAACAGTACTGAGTAGAGTCTTTCACACAGATTTCTTTTAATGTTCCTTCTGCATAATTCAGTTCTTAATGTTAGTTTATAGAAGTATTTAGGTGACTGTAGGGAAGCAGAAACTCCTGTGGACAATAAGTAACTGATTAATTTGTCTGATAATATTAGGATATAAGAGAGTGGAATCCTCCATGGAGATAAAATATAGTATCAATCTTATAAGGACTTAGCACTGATTATCCTAGACATAAGAAAAAATTAAGGACACTAACAATTCTCTAGGCTTTTAATTTGTCTATAAAGTGTATTCCAGATCTCACTAATTAATAAATATATTTAAACCTATAGGCAAAAAAATTTTATGGGAATTTTTTCAGTCCTTATATATGAATATATGTGAAATTTGTATCGAGTTTACCTAGGAAGGTAGTTAATGTAGATTTTTTTCTCTTTTCTTGTCTCAATTTTTCATGTCTTACATTCATTTTAAGAATAATAAAAGCACTTTATAAACATATTTTGTCATCTGAATTACTCCATTTCAGTGCTTAAATTTGTGCTCCTGCCCATGTTGCAGTAGATAATGTTACTTAATTATTATGGCGTATATCTTAAACTCCCAAAGAACCTGTGCTGTGGTAGTCATTGCATAACCAGTGAGAATTTTCTCCCTATGAGTTGGTGCCAGAATGTCTCAGATTTAAAAATCACTGATACTGATATTCTTTTGCATCCATATATATGCTTCTTACCAGTGAGTTAGTATGGATTAATACATTTGGAATGTATGTGTCCCTTTCCAAATGATTATTGACTTTGTATTTCACTGTTAGGGAGGTAGGCTATGAAGTCTCTGTATTTTATCTAACTAGTTCATGGTTTACAACAAATTGAGAACCAAGATTTCTCATCCAAAATTGGAAAGCTGAGGAAACCTGGGGAAGAGTTGGATACTGGAAATACCTTGGGGATGCTTTCATAGAATCAGCATGCCTAGGCATGCCCTCTGTCCACGCATATGTACATACTTACACACCTGATGTAGTAAGTCAGCTGAGCCCCCATATAGGTACTAGTACTTACATCAAACAGGTATATCATGTATACTCCCATCTACATACACTGTAACCCCTCAAGATTTAATTTTTGCTTTAAAGAGACCACCCTATTTTTTCTTAACTTTATTTCTTTATTTGACAGAGAGAGATCACAGGTAGGCAGAGAGGCAGGCGGAGAGAGCGGGGGAAGCAGGCTCCAGCTGAGCAGAGAGCCCGATGCGGGGCTTGATCCCAGGAGCCTGGGATCATGACCTGAGCTGAAGGCAGAGGCTTAACCCACTGAGCCACCCAGGCGCCCCGAGACCACCATATTTTAAGTGAAGGAAAAAGTAGCCTTTTATGCTTCCTGAGAAAGTTACCGTTTCTTCATTCATTTTTCAAGTCTCCAACTGATATCCTTTACCTACAGCCTGAGAACTCTTGCATTTCTTGTAGTACAGTTCTGCTCGTGATACATTCTCTTACTTTCTCTTAGTTTTCTTTTGTTTCTTTTAATTAGTAAATGTCTATTTTCATTCTTAAAATTTATTTTTGCTGCAATTGTAGGGTAATAAGTTTTTTATCTTTCAGCACTTTTAAGATTGTTTGTCTTCTGGTCTCCCTAGTTTCTGATGAGAAGTCAGCAGTAACTTTGAATGGTTATTTCCTTGTATGTAATGCATTTTTGCCCCTCTTGCTGCTCTCAGCATTTTCTGTTTATCTTTGATTTTCAGCAGTTTGACTATTGACCATTATCTATGACCATGTCCATAGGGGTGGTTTTCTTTGTATTTTTTCTACCTAGGATTCCCTGAGCTTTATGAATCTGTAAATTTATGCACTTTGCCAAATATGGGAGAAATTCCCTATTTTTTGAAATTTTTTTTATTCCATTTTTCCTCTCTTTCCTTCTTGGACTTCAATTACACAGGTATTATGTCCTTTGATACTATCCCACATGTCCCTGATATTGTTCATTAAATTTTTTTTGTCTCTCTGTTTTTAGATTGGTTAATTTCTTTTGATTTTACTTTACATTCATTGACTTTTTTTTAATCTCCATTTTGCTGTAAGTTTTTAACCAGCGAATTTTTTACTTAATGTATTTTTCAGTTTTAGAAATTCATTTTGGTTCTATTTTCTTTTTCTTTTTGTTTTCTTTTGCTTTGTTTTTGCTAAACTTTCTTATTTTTATTCCTTGCAAGCATGTTTTCCTTTGCACTTTTGAATAAGCTTTAAAAACCTTGTATGCCAATTCCAACATCTGGGTCATGTCAGTGTTGGTCTTTGATTGTCTTTTTTTCTTAAGCTTAGACCACAGTTTTCTGATAAGTTATTTTTAATTGTATCCTGGGCATTGTTACTGTTATGTTAAGACTGTAGATTCTGTTATATTCCTTTGAGGAGTGGTGACTTTTTAGGTAATTAACTTGGTTAGTCTTAAATTGTAAGTTCTCTTAGGTGGCTGTTCATATCACAATTCACTTCTTTGATCCTTAGTAATACTCTGTTTTGCACATGTGTTGGTTTAGAGGTGGTCAGAGATTTGGGCACCTTGGGCTCCTCTCTGGCTGTTTCCCTGATGTGCATGCCCTCGAGGCATGTTAGTCTGACTGCAGCTACAAATACAGAAGTGGTAATGTGCTTTAGATTGCAATTATCTTTTATAGATTATTTGTAAATAATCTCATATATATTGTTTGTAAGAACTTTGATGCCATGCCAACCGCTGTAAGAGAAATTTTTCTTAACCTAATCATTTGTGTACTTCCCTATCTGCATTAAATGATAGTCGCTCTATGTCACTTTATAGTGTCAAGATTATTTGTGTATGTGATCTAGTGGAAAAAAAATTTAATTGAGTATCTTTAGGCTAAGTTTCTAGTTATAGGTTCCCCACTAACTGGTAGTATAGCTTAGGACATTGAAAGGACTTACCCGACCTTCAGTACTTTTGTCTTTAAAAAGGAATTGAACTGGATGATCTATAATCCTTTCTGGCATTCAAATACAAACATTTTCCTAGTTGTATTCAGTTATTTTGGTACTAGGGACAGTTCTTTCTGATATTCTCTACCTCTTTTAATTCTCTTATTTTCTTCTATCTCATTTGATTTTTGTGATTTCATTACAGTACACAAAACCATAAACCACTTAGATATGCAATTACAATTAAGTACTCAAATGGTAGTTCTCTGTTAACATAAGTAGCAATTCAGCATTTTTCAAAAATTCCTAAAATATAATTAACAGATGGATACTGAAAAAATTTTTGTTTTAGCATTTAATGTTGATGACTAGGTTTATTCTGAGCCAAATAACTTAGTTCTCACACCTGCATGACTAAAGTCATGTGCCTTTGATAGATTACGTTAAAATTTAATTATTTTAATTTAACACCTTGTATTTTTACTCAGCATATTTATTTTTGAGTGATTGTTATAAGAACATTGGATAATTCATTCTTAGTTTATATAAAAACATGGGATATTTTATACTCCGTTTGTATAGATTTTATCTTATATAATTATTCTGTTCACTTATTTTTTTATAATATCACAGTACTATTTTATAATGTGGGTTTAGGTGTCCCTCATGAAAGCAATTTGAATAAAGTTATCTGACATCAGTTATTAAATTAATTTTTGTTCCTCTCAGTCATTAGACTAAAATACCTTATGGTGCTTAATAAGCCCTTATTATTTGCTCTCTTATGCAGAGTCTTTTCTGTGATTGTGTTCTTTATACATTGGTATGTGAAACTGTTTAAGGAATTTCTGAATTTTTATTTAATTATTGATTATATATCTATGTCTACTAATTAAGAAAAATGGTCAAATGTTCATTGTGTGTAAATAATAAGCTGTTATGTCAGATACATTTTATCACTGTTAACAAAGCTTTCTTTGGTATACCTTTCAGGTGACATTTGCAGACAAAAAAAGTTAAACTGTCAAGGAATTCATACCATTTTCTACCTGTTACTTGGAACAACTTAAGGAGTCTTTGATTTATCAGATCAGTTGGCAACAGAAAATGAAGAGTAGCGTGGCACAGATAAAAGTAAGTGTTTGAAATTTATAATGAAGAACATAAACTTGTATCAAAAAATGCATACCTAGAACTAGGACATTAGAACCAGACAGTAGAAAGGCATCATACACATATCTAACTTACACAATTTCAAGTGTAGCCACATGGTCACATAGAAGCAGTAGTGTACAAGAGGGCAAATGAGAGAACGTGGAAGATGTATGATGTGTGTGTATCCATGTACATGTATGCATGTATGTCTATCATTGCCTCCACAAATCAAGAAAGTGCATGTGAGTGAGCACCTGCAAAAGAATAATTAACAGGGCAGGGAATTCCACCATTCTTCTTAAAGATTATACTTCCCTGAATGAGCATGAAATGGAAGACAGGCATCTCCTTCCTTAGTTAATCATAGTTCCTGCATGTCTATCTACAGGGGAGACTCTTACTGGTGCATAAACAAGCTCTTTATTCTGTGTTCTCCGTTAGACATTATACACTCATTTATTCAACAAATATTCACTGAATTCTTATGTCCTAGTGACTATTCTAAGCACTTTACATAAAATGGTGAACAAAACAGAAATCCGTGGTCTCGTGGAGTTTGTGTTCTAGTGTGGGAAGACGGAAAATAAATTATAAACTTAATCCATAAGTAAAAGGTGTAGGATAGTGGTATTAAGAGCTAAATTTATGCTACAGACAAAAGATATGGGGTAATGTTGATCATTAGCATTGGGGGTTGCAATGTTGGATAGGGAGGGCCCACTGAATAGGTAGCCATTTGAGCAGACTCTTGAAGGATATGAGGAAGTTAGCCATGCAAATAACTGGGAAAAGAGTATTCCAAGCAGGCGGAACAGCAAGTATAAAAACAAAGAGTCTAGTGTGGCCGAGGCAGGTTATAAGAAAGGGAGAATAATAGATGCAGTCAGGGCAGTAACAGGAGCCAATAACTCTGTCTACTCAGAACTGTTCCTCTGACTGTCAGTGGACTTAGCAGGAGAGCAAACCATTCCACTTCTATTCAACTGCACAGATTACAAGCAGACACATCATGCCTTGGATCTTGGAATCAGTAAAGGGGAAGGTATATTTTTATTTAATTACAGATCTAGGCCCTGCTCCCTTCCTCTCTCCTCCACCAGTTCTGCACCCCTAAACCACCTTCTTTAAAGAGAAACAGTAAACTGAGCTTAGCAGGGGACACTAGGAACTAGCCCTGGTGCCTGGTAAGTATTTAATAAACAGAATTGATAGACTTACAGACTGGGGCTGGCTCTGCCGCCATCTTTGCTAAATTCTGTAGGGTATAAGGCTTGGTAGACACCCAGCCCATGCTTGGAGATCTCTTTTGGTGGGAGTTCACTATCTCAAGCTAGACCTATCTGTCAGTAGATACTTTCATATATCGTTCTGAAATCTGCCTCTTTGGGGCTTGTACTCATTGGTCCAGTGGCACTTAAGCAGTTAATTAATTGTGGACCTAGTAGCCGGTAAACTGTGCTGAAAGTTGGCGACATAAAGAAAGCGGAGAACTGGTGTGGAACTGGCTCTTGATTGAGCCATGTTAGACGAGAGCACTCAGATTTAGCCGGATACCTTTTCCACAGAGGGAGATGTGTCTAGTCTTTTCAGAATCCTCTTCCTACTCCTCTTACACTGTGCTTTCTCTACCTTTACCTCCTGTGGTCCTGATGGGTCCTCGATGGCACCGTCCCATCCTAGGAGTGGGTATCTTCTTCAGTCAGCATGCCCTCCAAGCTTAGTGGCTCAGCTCTGTCTACCAGTTTGTAGCCTAGTCTGCCTCCTTTTCTCTATCCTGTTAGCCACAAACAAGTCTGCTAGCTGGGTGGGGCCCATTTTTACCTCAGGTAAAGCTCACATCTTCCCCTCAGTGTTCTCAGGACTCATTTGCTGGGTTCAGGAGGGTTCAGCTGAGGATCTTTGTTTTTCCACTGATCCTTAGCTATCAAGAACCAAGTTTCCTACTTGTTTCAGCCCTTCCTCTCCTTGCTGTTAAAGACTGGTTCCTGAGCCTAGTGGTTGCTCAGAGGTCTGGACTCAGGCTCCCTGCTCCACTCACCTTTTCATACTGCTGTCTTTATATTGTTAGAGATTATAGGGAACCACATGGTATAAACATTTGTTTTGCTTAATGAACAATTGGAGAATTTTTAAAGGTAATTTTGACAATATATTATTTTCAGTGCCTACTCTGATTTATAATCTGGACACTATGATTAAGAAAAGAGGAAAATTCAAGTTATTATTTGAATCTCATCTCAAAATAATATTTTACATAGTGAAATCCTGTTCATCTACCAAAACCTAGTTCAAATCCCCCTTTACCCACTGTCATTCCTCAGTATTCAGTTATTGTTCCCTACTCAGGATGTCCTGTTAGCACTTCTCTGTGTGCCAGTCACGTTAACTTAATCGTATTTACAAAATCCTGATTCACGACTTCAATATTTTTGGTTTCCCCCCTTGCTTACAACAGATGTTGCGGAGATGTGTTAAAAATCATTAGCACAGGGGCACCTGGGTGGCTCAGTGGGTTAAATCCTCTGCCTTTGGCTCAGGTCGTGATCCCAGGATCCTGGGATCGAGCCCTGCATCGGGCTCTCTGCTCAGTGGGGAGCCTGCTTCCTCCTCTCTCTCTGCCTGCCTTTCTGACTACTTGTGATCTCTGTCTGCCAAATAAATAAATAAAATCTTTAAGAAAAAAAAAATCATTAGCACAGAACTGAGGCCTTCTCCCTAATGTAATCAAAATAATTGCTGTGCCTTGTAAAAGAAAAAGTAGACTGCAGTTTTGTTCTCTGTCTCTCTCCCTTCCCCCTCTCCTTCCCCTCTTCCTTCTCTTCCTCCTCCTCTTTTTCTTTTCTCTGTTGCTCTCTCAGGAACATATAATCTGATACGTTTAATTGTGGAAATCTTTATAGCCATCTTTCCGCTGTAAGATCATAAATTCCTTTTCCTAACTTGTATCCTCCAGAGTGTCTACACAGGACAGGCTGTGTTTTATAAAAAAGTATGTTATACATGTTGAACAATTTTACCTCATTTTGTTGCTAAGTGAAGTAATTTTTAAAACTTTGTTATATACATGAGAAACAGGATTTTAAGATGGTTGCATTCAGTATAAAATGGCATCCAAACTATGGCTATCGTAAATTACAAATTTTGATCACGTGCTTATTACTCACCTAAATAGATTAGTCTAGTTTGTATATACTATTAGGAAAATTCAATAGTTGATGAGACTGTTTGGCAGTTTACTTGTGATAATGTTAGACTCAAACTGCTGTTAATTAGTCATAAAATAAGAGGAAGTTGGAGCTTGTTTATATTTCTGTGCAGTATAATTTTCTATCCTTAAACGTTCTTTTTCCCACTAAGGAGGCAAGCATCTAAATGTGCAGAACAAGTTGTTCATTATTTTATTTCCTTTTTCTTAGCTTTTAAGGTAAAGCTACTTTTAAAAATCCTACTGTTTTTCCTTTCTTATAGTTCAGGTTAGTTAAAATGGTTTTAATCCTTAAAAAAAAAAAACTGGACAATATGAATGTTCATCAGTGATGTAAAAATTTTACCTATTTACAGAGATAAATATTTTGCTTTTTAACTGTATTTGGATTTTTAAATTAGGATTTGTTCTCCAACTGGATAGTTCATATCTCTGTCTGTGTGACATTTCTCTTCAGTTTCATGTTATAGTGGAGTTATTTATTTGTATGTCTTGCTATTTTTCAAAGTACTTGGCATAGGATCTCTCTCTCACAAATCGTGTTTTTCAAATCTGTAGAATCTAACATAGTGCCATACAGGTCAGACATTTGAACAGTGTTTCCTGAAAGTAAAAATGAATTTTCATAAATATATTAGAGTTGGTTTCTAGAACTAAAGTGTTTTTTTTTAATTTATTTTTTATTTTTTCATAAACATATAATGTATTATTAGCCCCAAGGGTAAAAGTCTGTGAATCTCCGGGTTTACACACTTCATAGCATTCACCATAGCACATACCCTCCCCAGTGTCCATAACCACCCCCCTCTCCCTACCCCCCACTGGCCCCTCTCAGTTTGTTTTGTGAGATTAAGAGTCTCTTATGGTTTGTCTCCCTCCTAATCCCCTCTTGTTCTAAAGTGGTTTTTATAAGCCAAAGTAGATTCAGGGAGATAAATGCAGTATTATAAGACTTTGATATAACCACAAGAGTGAACTCTTCTTGCTAGAAGACCTCTGGCCCTTAGTCATGTTTTTCACCAAGAAAAAACTTTGGTCTTGTTTTTCACCAAAAGACGTTTATAAAAGTGATGTTCTGTGTATTTAAAACAATATAAAGGAATAAAATATCAACTAAGTGGCATTGAAAATTTGAGAATTATTTTCTTCTACTTTGAATTTTTTTTTTATTAAAAAAAGTATGTGGTCCATAGTGAAAACATTATCTGCCACAGATACCCACCTTGGAGGGCCTAAAAATTTTGTTTTGTCTTACATTCTGTTTAGATAACATGAATTATTCTTATGACTAAAAAAAAGTTTTGAAAAAATTTGTAAAGCACTACCAATTTTCTGAGATGCATATTTCATTTTCTATGTGTTTTTAACATAATTTTTAAAAATAACCCCTCCCCCTCATTCTTTTCCTTTGAAAGCATTCTTCTGGTCATGACAGAAGGGAAAATAATAATTCCTATCAGAGAACCTCTTCTCCAGAAGACAGGTAAATAATTTTATGTGCTCCTGCAATTTAAATGTTTTGTAATAAGTTTTAAAAAATTATTTATCTCTTAGGTTCTTCATTTTAGGGTGAACAATTTCTTTTAGATGGTTTTGCAGTATTACTTGAATAAACTTGAGGACAAATCATTTTTGAATGGCTGTTCTAGGAGTTTCTAGTAGATATTTCTAGATTTTATCGAATTTTGGAGGTGAGAGAGAATAATTTCAGCATGCCCAATACTCCATAAAAGTTTTATAAAATGAAATGAATCCTGAATGAAACACTGAATGGAAGTTTATAAAATGGAAAACTGAGTTGAAATCACCTTACTTTGAAGTGCTGCTTTTATTGTTACTACTATCCTTTACATAGCTCTTTAGAGATTTCAGAGTACTTTTATGTATATATCATATCTTATAATTGTGTTAAGATGAAAGATCTAGAAATATTACTATTAATGTTCATCAGGCATTCATAGTAGTACTTCAGTTATTTCACTTAGTGAGCTATGATCATTAAATAATTTTAAATTTTAATAAATGATCCTTTAATTTTTTAATTAAATTTAAATTAAATTTAAATTTTAAATTTTAATAAATCATTAAAATAATTTATGATGGTAGAAGCATCCTCTAAACTTCCTTCCAGTGGTTTTCATCTCTTCCTTACCACATATGTACTTTCTTCTTATTTCACTCCGTTGTCTCTAAAAACTTTTGTTTCATGGACATTGAATTAATTGTCATGGTTTGCAAGTGCTTAGTACCTTTCATCAATCACCTACTTTCTATCTTTAAAAGAAAAAAAAACACCTTTCTACATGCACAGAAAAACATGTATATCTATATGTTATATAAATTACTTATAGATGTATACAGTTGACCCTTGAACAGCCTGGGGGTTAGGGGCACTAATGCCCCCCTGCCCAGTTGAAAATCTGCCTCTGTAACTTTTAACTCCCCAAAAAACATAGCTACTAATATCCTGCTGTTGGTAACATAAACAGTCAACTAATATTTTGTATATGTTACATATATTATATACTCTATTCTTACAGTGAAGTAAGCTAGGAAAAGAAAATGTTATTAATAAAATCATATGGAAGAGAAAAATACATTTGTAATACTGTGCTGTATTAGGAAAAATTCGGTACCCACACAATTCAAACCCGCAACTGTTCAAAAGGTTAGCTGTATATAAAATATGAATTAGTATATTTATTACTATGTATATTTATTACGTGTATATGTATTTAACTTCTCTTAAGGTTCTCTGACTTTATTGATATTTAAAGTTCAAATGGCAGATCTTATACTGTTATCCTTGTTTGCTAATAATTTCAATCCTTTCTCACTGCTATTCAGTAAAATGGGTTCAAGAATAATAGCCAGTGTTTTTTTGATATCTCTTGGAATGAGTTAAACTGGTCTTTATGAAGGCCAGCCAATGACATTGATGTCATTTGTTCATTGCTTTGATAAAGCATTTGCGGGGTAGGCTTTTTTCATGCCAACTGTATATGATATCCGATATAGATCTTTTACTTTAAACAGTGTGAATCAGGATGACAGGTTTGGTTATGTGAACTCCAGTAGTTGTTTTGTACACAAGCTGAAAGCTTTTATAATCAAGACTAAATGAATGATGTCAACAAAAGAGAAGTTGAGAAGTTCAGTAAGACGTTGTTCAGTCATAGAGTTACTTCAGCATTATCAATATATGATTTTCATAGGTATCTATAACATAGCTTTCATCTTATAACTTTGGTTTTCTTATTTTATGTGTTAGATATGCAGAACAAGAAAGATCCCCTCGGGATAGAGATCACTTTGATTACAACAGGTCAGACTATGAGCATTCAAGAAGAGGGCGTTCTTATGATAGTAGCATGGAGTCACGGTTAGTATTAGAAATTTTAACTACAGAAAAATCATATTTGTTTAAATTTTCTTTATGCTTCTTAAAAAACCGTAAAAGTAGTAGCTAGCATTAAATGGTTGTTCTTAAGGACCACGCTTTCTAATAAGGACTTCATGCAAATTAATTCCTTATTGCAGTAAGTATATGAAGTAGTTATTATTGTGTGTTTTATAGATGAAGAAACTGAGGCAGAGAGAATTTAAGTCATTTGTTTGTGTTTTAGAAGCATGTCAGTGGAAAGTCCTGGTCTGACATTGAGCCTAAGCTCTTATTCATTATATGGGACTGTATTGCATGAGGAGTTAGCAGTGTGAGTTTTTTAGATTCCTTACTGAATGAAAGTCATTTACATCATATGACATAGAGTGATCAAAATATACTTTCCTACATGATGGCACTGGGACTGAGAATGACGTTACCAGTCTAATTTTTATCTAAATAGAACTTATTCTTTCTTGAGCCTTGGAGAATTTGGCTACCCACCCTGTTAGTCATCCAGTTTCAAAAACTTGTCTACCAAATGTTATTGTTCACGAAGGTCTGTATCCTTTTGATGTCTCCCTCATATTACCCATTCCATGACTATTAAGACTATACTCCCCACTAAATTTTTGATGAAACTCCTCTGCAGTTTGGAGCTAATCACATTATTTGCTATCTGCAACCTAAATTTCCTTCTCACTACTTTAATATATACCTAAAAGTAAAATGTCAGCTTAAATCAGCCTCCAAAAGCCAAACTCATCTCCTGTCACCTTAATGACCCCTTGGGAGAACCAGCTACCATAATTGGTGAGCTAAGCATCTTGCATTCTTTCTCAAATACTGTTAAGACTCTTACAAACTAGATATTATTTTTCACAATTTCGCAGGGAAAAAAAAAAAGTGAAGCGGGTTTGAAGTGATTATGTAACTTACCTGAGTTTGCAGTTGCCTACTTGGTAGACAATGAAAGTGGGATTTGAACTCAATTTTGACTCCCAAAACCCATTTTTTCTTCCATAATCTCTGACTGTATTACTTCATTGTAACTGTGTTTGGTCCAGTGTATGTACATAAGTCTCATTTGATTCATACACTCACACTGTGAATCAAGCAGACTGTGTATTATGTAGAAAATAAAAGCTAACAGTATGAAAGCATTGGAAGAGAAATTTAGACTTGAAGAAGACTCTGTCATCTTTGCACTCGACAGGAACAAACAGTGAAATTGTAAAGATGCAATTTTATCAGCCAGTTAGCTGTCTTACATAGTGTTTCTTAGAAGAATGATAACCAATGCCAGTAAATCCCTGCTGTAGTTAATCTCTTGAAGCCTTCTACACTCACAATAAGAAGCAACTCAGTTACAAATCAGTGCCTAGATTGCAGTGCACCTGCCTTTGTAACTAACTGGGATGTCTATTTGGAACTACTTTTTTCCCCCTTCTGTTCACTCTGTCTTCCCGTATACAGTGGTATATTTCAGGTTCAAAACAACTCCTCTGAATCTACCTGGCTAGGTGACTCCTTCTCTCTTTCTTTGTAAGTTGTATTACTATATATTAAGACAGACTATCTCAAATACAGACCCCCCAGATCTAGCTAAAATCTATCAAGTGGTTTCCTGGTAATAATGATAAATGACACTTGTTTTTATTTACTGTATTCATTTAACTAATAGTTGCACAAAGCATGAGCAGAATGATCTAAGTTTCCAAAGCAGTATAGGTTAAAAAAAAAAAAAAAAAAACAGCTAAGTGGACAAACTCTTCTCTCAAAAATGATAGCAAAAAACCAAGAATTTACTCTTCCCGTTAGTTCTTGATAGTTTCAGAGAATAATAACCTTGATTTTTTAAAAAATGTTACCTTAAGAAAGGATACTCACCTACAATAGTCAGGAAGAGTTACAGCAGGAAAATAGTTATTTTTTTTCCCATCTCAAATAACCAGATGTTTCTGATATTCTGAGGTTTTAAATGCCAGTTCTATCAAAAAGTAATTTCAAATGTTACAGTTTTTTAGGACATTTTTTATTCCTGAATTGCCATTATTAGAAATATGCTCTGGTTTCTTCTTTATACAGTTTATCATGTACATTATGGTCTAAACTGTCTTGTTAAAACATTGTTTCCATGTCACTCTTGTACTCAGAAACTATTAATGAGTCTCCATTGACTATTATAAAAAGCTTAAAGTCTGTTTCTTGTCTTAAAATTTCATACCTTGACTCAAACTCATCTTGCCAACTACCATTATACATGATTCTTTATTGTTTTCTGACAGTACTACTTAATAACTTGAACATCCTACTCCCTTTTCCAGTAGTTATTCTGTTCACTAGTTGCAGAATGCCCTCCTTCTTCCTCCACCTTCCCGCTCTTGCCCCAGTATAAATTCTGTCAAGCCTTGAAGCCCTAGTTTAAGTTACATTTTTTCTATGAAGCGCTTCTTCACCATTCCAAACCACTTGCTCTTGTCTGAATTTGTGGCCTGCAAATGGTCTTGCTCATTTGGTATGCAGCTCATTTAAGTATGTAATTTATAGGGTGCTTCGGTGGCTCAGTGGGTTAAGCCTCTGCCTTTAGCTCAGGTCTTGATCCCAGGGTCCTGGGATCAAGCCCCACGTCAGGCTCCCTGCTCAGCAGAGAGCCTGCTTCTCCCTCTCCCTCTGCCTGCTGCTCTGCCTACTTATGCTATCAAATAAATAAAAACCTTTGAAAAAATGTAATGTATGTAATTTATGTTATCTTTTCTCCATTAAAAAAATTTTAATATTACAGAAGTAGGGACCGAGAAAAACGCAGAGAAAGAGAAAGAGATATGGATCGTAAAAGGTCTCGGAAATCCCCAACTCCTGGGAGAAGAAGCCCAGAACCATCAGTAATCCAGAGTTCCTCTGCTCAGGATGAACCTACTGCAAAGAAGAAGAAAGATGAGCTGGATCCTCTTCTTACTCGCACGGGTGGAGCATATATTCCTCCTGCAAAGCTCAGGATGATGCAAGAGCAAATTACAGATAAAAACAGGCATGTCAATATCACTGAGTTTTAAAGTAATGATACCCTCACTGAAAAAAAGTCAACCATGGTCTAATCAACATGGGCTATTGAGAGTTCACATTATTAGTCCACAGTGGTAGAGACCTCAAATTAGGTTTTTCTTCTTTACTCCATAAGCTCCCTTGGATCTCTGCTTACTGTTTGCCCTGACATTATCTCAGCTTCTTTAAATGAGTGTGGCTCTGTTCCTATGAAGCTTTCTTTACACAAATGGGCTGTAGGCTGCATTTGAGTCATGGATGTAGTTTGCCAACCCCTATACTAATCTATGAAATGAAGTTGACCATGAAATGAAGTTGAATCTCCTCTACTCCATAGTTTTCTTAGACCATACCATCTCAGACTGTAATTTTTTGCTAAGGCAAACAATCAAAATTCATTTATGAACATTCACCCTCAAAACACCTTCACTTCCTTTTCAAAATGATTGAGATGAGAGGAGCTATACATGAAAGTATAGCTAAGTTTTCAGGACCTCTTTCTTTAGCGGCATGAAAGAGGATAATTACAGAAAGTGTGGTCCAGGATTGAAATGGTCACTCAGTTGCCAGTTAGGTAACAAAAAGATTGGGACAAAGGGTAGCTACACTTTGAGAAAAATAGATTTCTAAGTGAGCCAAGAAAGAGTATTCCCACATCTTTCATAGGTATTTTAATGGCAACTTGAAAGTACTTGAGACCCTTACATAAATGAAATCTAAATTTACTTCATGAATTAGTTTGAAGTAGAAATGTCATGTATAAAGTATAAATATTTGAAATAAAATTTTTAAAATTTATGAGCTAGAAAGGGACATTAGATGACATTAAATTTAAAACTAATTAGTAAGTTTCTCTGTATGTGTCATATTCCAGTACATGGTAATAATGCCTGCAGTGTTATGTTTAGAAGGAGTTTGGAGATGGCTTCTGTGGTTAGCAGGAGCTTCGTGAGCATGTAGGCCTTCTGCTCTCTGCTCTTAGGAGGCGGCAATGGTGGTAGCTTTAGTGAGAGAGACATTGTCTCCAATCCAGCCCAAAGCAATCCTAATTATAAAAGATCAGAAACATTGTTATTAAGCCATGTCTTTCTTACTTCCTTATAAATAAAGTGGGTGGAGATGAGTCCCCAGTACACGTAATTTTACACTGATTCCTGGAAGATAATTTCATACAGTTTAAATCTGCTCATAGCTGTAAAGGGGACAAGGTGAAGTAGAAGTCTCTTAAGAGAAGTCTATAGACTTTACTTTTAGTAGATACTAAGTCAGGAGGATTGTAGGCTTCTTAATTAGGAAGTGCAGTTGTACTTGATTATAGTTTTTGTTTGTTTGACCAAAGTTTAATAGGAGAGATTGTGATTATATATCAGCAGTCTTACTCATTAGGCTAGTTTTTAAGCCATTGATCTTGTTTCTCAAATAGTAGCATACCAAGGGGTTGGGGTTGGGGGTCCCCTGGAAGTGTTGCACCCACCTCAAATGCAGGCATTTAGGAAGTACATGATCTATAAGGAATTTAAAAACAATATAATTAACTGCAGATCAGTCTGCATTTTATCCTCACTGTCTGCTGAGGACAATGTCAGTGATAAAGTACTCTTCCCACCAGGGTAGACTGCTCTCACCACCTCTCCCTTAGTATACCACTCCAGAACAGGGATCCTTAACCTACAGACCTTCAAGAGGCGCAAAGGTAGAATTTGGCAACACATAAATATAAATGGAAAGAAAAAATTGCATCTTTATTTTTACTTTCCTCTAACTAAAATTTAGCATTTCTTTCTATCAGGAATAATGTAGGCAGCAGACTGTAGCATTAACAAGAGTATTTGCTGCAAATATATGAAAATATTGCTTATATCCATGCTACTTGGATATTAAAGAAGTTATTCTACCACCACTTCTTGTTATTTAATGTGTTAAGAAACACATAGAATTCTGTATCAAACTTTTTTTCTTTTCATGCTTTGAAAACTATTTAAATATGATTGATATCCTTTGTAATTCTATATATTTATATATATTACTCCAAAAAAGTCCTTCAGCTTCACAAGACTACCAGAGAAGGATAAGGAAGATGAGGAAGATAAGAAACTCTACAGCTAAAACCATATTCCACGGGGAAATAAATATAAAAACCATAGAATTACAGAGCTGTAGAATACCTTAGGTGTTACCAAGTTAAACCTAAACAAATCTAGTTAGGCTGAATTATTTGCCTAAGGTCTGAGTTAAAAAACAAGCAATACAGATGTGGGACTACTGCCTAAATGCGGACATGTTCTTTAAAATACAACAGTCCTTCCGCCCCATGATTTCATGTGACTCCCTTTTCCTGTATTTATTGCCATTTCTTTACAGTTTAAAATATTTAATCTTGTTTTCCTTATCATGCTTTTATAAAAAAGGACATGATAAAAATCTCCTTTTAAGGCTTATACTTGGATACTTCATATTATAATTTAAAATTTTTTAAAGTTGTCATTTTAAAATATTTAAAGACAATTTTAACTGAAGTATTATAATGTAAAATAAGTATGTATTGAATCAATAAGTGAATGTTATAATTTCCAATATACATGGATGTAAAAACAAAACATTATACTTATATATCCTTATATAATTTTATTATGTTATTAAAGAGAAGTGATCTGTAGTTGAGCATATATACAGAACATCAAATACAGGTTTAGGTATTCCTATAGTCATTTATTTTACTGCACTTTGAGGTCATTTTGTGAAAATAATGTTAAAAAACAAAGGAAGCCTAAGTACTTTTTATGTTCTTATTATAATCTCTGATTACTGTAATTGTTGACTAAGTTTCCATGTTTATTAAAATCAATTCTTTTTAGCTTGGCATACCAGAGGATGAGCTGGGAGGCCCTAAAGAAGTCAATCAATGGTCTTATCAACAAAGTCAACATCTCTAATATAGGTATTATTATTCAAGAACTTCTTCAAGAAAACATAGTTAGGGGAAGGTAAGCATCAGCTATTTATTATTTATAGTATTTCATAGCAGTTTTTCAAAGGAACAGAATACCTACATGGACAATAATTGATTTATTGTGCTACTTCAGTAGTAGTCGAGAATAATTATATAAAAAGCAGTTCTTATAAAAATGTACGGCCACTAACAAATAACTTATACTTCACCATTAGAAATTGTGCAGTTTTTGCTTTTGAAAAGGTCTGATGTCACGTAATGATTTTTGTGTAGACATTTGTTTACTGAATACTTCCAATAATTTAAACTCATAAGGAATAATGAACATTTTATTTATATATGTATATATAATTTTAATTTCTAATGAAAAGTGGGAAGGTGTAAGAAAATCAGTGATCAATGTTAGAAAAGCCAAAGGGAATGACAGTCATTTTTTGTGTAGTTTTAATTGGTTGTGATTTTAAAAAGGATCAGGAAATAAAAATATGTCATATTTTTTTTTATTTTGAAATCTGAAGGATATTTTCCTGTGTCATTTCACATGACTCTGATTTATCATTTCCAAAACATTGGTGAGGGAGCAAGTAAAGTAAGATGTAACATGTTGTGGGGATATAGAAAGTTGACCAAGAGGCAGCTTGTCCTCAAAGGTAGGTAGGTAAAGTGCTCCCATTTTAGTCAGAAAGCAGCAGAGGCTATATGGGTTGCTTAAGATATCACAGTTTATAAAAGCTGGGTTTTCTTTTCTCATTTTCTACTCTGTTGATTCAGTTGTCAAAGTTAAACCTGATAACTATTAAGATAAACTGTTTTCCTGCCTTTTGGCAGTCCAGTAATTATTTGTCATTACATTGCTAGAAATAACTTTGCATCTCTCCCTTTATCAAATGCATATAGAACCATGGTCATTTCAAAATGAGTTAGAAGTGGAACCTTGTTGACTTTTTTTTCTTTTATAAACAGAGGCCTGCTGTCCAGATCTGTTTTGCAAGCGCAGAGTGCTTCTCCAATCTTCACCCATGTTTATGCAGCGTTAGTGGCAATTATCAACTCAAAATTTCCACAGATTGGGGAACTAATCCTTAAGAGGTTAATTCTTAATTTCCGAAAAGGCTATCGAAGAAATGATAAGGTATATATGATGGGCATGTTAAGTTGACAGCTACATAGGGACAGACTAATAATCCAGTATCAACCGTGATAAGCAATGTTGATTGTTACTTAGGAATTCTTTTTAAAAACTGCATTTCGTGAGAACATTTTTTTTATTCCATTAAATATCTCTGGCTGCTAACAGTGAGCCACAGAAATGATAGCTATAACTGTAGGATTATAATTATTTAGCCAGAAATGACACTATTTCACATTTAATAGTTTTTGTCTTGTAACTTTCTAACATCATAAAAATTATCCTGTGTGCTATGTATTTTAAATAAAGTATGTAATAAATAAGCTATAGATTTAGTAGTTAAATGAAAATTGGTTTTAGTTTATAGTTTAAATTGTCTCTGCCTTCACTTTTCAGCAACTTTGTCTTACTGCTTCAAAATTTGTGGCACATCTTATTAACCAAAATGTGGTAAGTAATTCTCAAAATTTGGTACCATGCAGTGGCATTAAACATCACATGCTTGATGCCACTTCATTGATAAATCTCTATCTTTATTTTGCCTTGTGGTCTTTCAGAAGAGAATCTTAGATGATATTTTAGTTTTAAAACTGTAATAAATGTGTTTAATATTCTTAAATAGAAAAAGGAACTCAGAACAAATATTTTATCAAATTGATCTGACTCTTAATATTGTACGTGGTTATTCAGCTACAAATTATTTCTTCAAAGAATGTAATTTAATCATATTTATAAGACAATAAAGTTAATATTTCCTCCACTCTTTTCTCCCATACCTATTGTTGAGAATGTAATACTATCTGATATTCTATAAAAAAATCTTTTCTCTGCAACAACTAGTATATAGTCATATATTCTTAGAATCAGTTTATAGAGGCACCTGGGTGGCTCAGTTAAACGTCTGCATTCGGCTCAGGTCATGATTTCAGGGTCCTGGAATCAAGTCTCGCATCAGGCTCCCTGCTTGGCAGGGAGCCTGCTTCTCCCTCTCTGTCTCCCCACTGCTTTCTCTCACTCTCACTCTCTGTCTCAAATAAGTAAATAAAATCAAAAAAAGAAAAAAAAAGAATCAGTTTATAAAATGTAAATGAAATAATTTTAATCTGTTTTAATTGCAAGTAAGTTTCTCTTTATGTTCAGGTTTTGTGTTTATTTTGTATTCATTCACCTATTTGATGTTTTTTTTTTTAATTTGAGAGTTTTGAATTAGCTTCTATTTCAACTAATGAAAAATAGGATTTCTCTTATTCATACTCAAAGGTTTCCTTCAGATGTATATTATGTTTAATTATATATAAGAGGAAGAATTTTGAAGTCACATTTAATCTTAATTTACTTACCATTTTCATTCTTTCCAAATGAAATTCCCGTGTTCATTCTTAAAAACCCATTAGATTTTAACGTAATGAGTTAAGTTATTATTACAATGGTAACTTGTTTCTTAAGACCATGGGGACTTAATTTCACATATCTATGTGAAAGCACAGAAAGTACGTTTTGGTTTTTGAATGTGTATTCATTTATATTGAAAATATTTTTGGCATTGCCACAAAACTGTTAAAATGTTAATTATGTTAGGTCTTTCAGCTGTGGTACAGGGCAATATTTTCTTATCACTGATACAAGACTAAGACTGTTAGACCTCCACATCATACCACGAAATAAAAGCAATATGTATTTTAGATGTTGTGCTCAATGGAAAGAGTATCTTCCTAAGTTAAGACTTAGACTGTTTACTCCCCCATCTCAAAAAAGTATCTGACCTTAGGAAGGCGTATGTACTGGTGCCTTGAAAATGCTTCCTAGTACATTTCCTTTTCACAGCAAAGCTGCTCAATAGAATTTTATTCCCATCCTACTTGGCATTGTTTTTAAGTATTAAATTTTTAACATGGTCACTGTCAATAACGTGATTTAGTTGAAAAAACAAAAAAAAAGAGGGAAGTATTTTAAAACCTTCCTTGAGTCCCAGATATTTTCTGATAAAATTGTTCATGTAATTTAAGAACTATTTTTTGTATAACAGAATTGCTGATAGAATGAACTAGGAAATGGATATAAAGAGTTGTGGTTGTGAAGAATGGCATTAGAAAAAGTGTAGCATAATTGTTAACTTCTATTTTGAAACTAATTATGGCATTTCCTGTAGATATTTTATTGTTTCCTTTATATAATATATAAGAATTATTTCTTCTGGAGATAAATAGTTGTATTTAATGTAATCAGTTTAGATTTTTGGAACAATCATCTGGAAATTTTTAACAGACATAAGAGTGAAAGAAAAATTGTATCCCATATTTGGAGTATTTCTGTATGCGTTCTAAAACTTTGTTCATCATATGTATAATATTATTGCTGTAAAAACCAGATTTGCCAATTTTTTTAATTACTATCAATAGTAGGTTAATATACGTAAAAGCGTTTTCTCAATTCCATATGTCTTCATTCTATTTAAGGCACATGAAGTTTTATGCCTAGAGATGCTCACTTTGCTCCTAGAAAGACCAACAGATGATAGTGTTGAAGTAGCTATTGGTTTTCTCAAGGAATGTGGTCTCAAATTAACACAAGTGTCACCAAGAGGAATCAATGGTAAGTATATTATCTTGGTTTGATATTGAGCTTTTGTTTGAGTATTATAATATCTTTTGCTTATTTTATTGCTTTTTTCTTTCATTTTAACTTTAGCTATATTTGAGCGCCTCCGAAACATTCTCCATGAGTCTGAAATTGACAAAAGAGTTCAGTATATGATTGAAGTGATGTTTGCTGTACGGAAGGATGGATTCAAGGACCACCCAGTTATCCTAGAAGGCCTTGACTTAGTGGAAGAAGATGATCAGTTTACCCATATGCTCCCTTTGGAGGATGACTATAATCCAGAAGATGTTCTTAGTGAGTTAGAGTTGGGGAGGGGCAGGCTACATGGTGAGTTGGGAAGTGGGGCACCAACAAATGTAAATAGAGAAAATAAATAATTTTTAATTTTTTTAAGATGTTTTCAAGATGGATCCTAATTTTATGGAGAATGAAGAGAAATACAAAGCTATTAAGAAAGGTATGTGGAATTTTATAATCTATTTTGGATAAGTAGAAGTAATTCATGTAGATATGTAATACTGGTAGGAAAGCTTAAATCACTGACCTAATGAAATCTCTGCTATTATGATGCCATTCTCTTCACTGTTTTTCCATACATTATTTTTCTTTTCATTATTGTTTCTCGTTTGTGGTATTACTTCATTCTCAGTTGTTTACCTCATTGTCCCTGTCCTCTTTCCCTCTATTTAAATTGTACAGCACTTAAGTCTCATTCCTTTTAAGAAATGTCTATATTGGGGTATCTGCGTGGCTCACTCGATTGAGCATCTGACTCAGTTTTGGCTCAGGTCATGATCTCAGGGTCCTGAGATTGAGCCCTGTGGCAGACTCCGTGTTCAGCGGGGAGTCTGATTGAGATTTTCTTGCTCTCCTGCCCCTCTATCTGTGCATGCTCTCGTGCTCTCTCTTTCTAAGATAGATAAATAAATGAATGAATAAATCTAAAATATATAAATAGATCTTTAAAAAAAAAGAAATGTTCATATATTACTAGTAGCCCTTATTTGAACTTCACGACCACTTAAGAATTGGTGCTTAAATTGATGTCCGATATAATATTCAACTAGATGCTATACTTTTATTATAAAGTGCTATACTTCATTATTTCTTGAGAGCAGATTGATGTCCTGATAAAATCAGTCATAATTCCAGATAGGCTATCAGTGCTCAATAAATTAGTGAATTGATTATTATTATCATTTGTGCATCATCAGTATATTACAAGCACTAACTTTGGACAGATTTTGGTTTGTATTTTGTCTGTGCCATTCATTACTAGATAAGTGACCTGGTACAAATTATTTGTTTGATATAAAGTTACTTGTTTGTTTAAGGATAAATAAAATATAGTGCTTTGTATTATCATAGAGCAAGGATTTAGGCAATGCTTTTTTTATTTTTGGACATTTGTATTTCCCTTGAGTTGTGATTTTTTTTATGTGAGAAGTACTTACTGTTCTGAAAGCTCGGGAAGACAGTAGGAGGCCTAGAGCTCTGTCATTTCCTGCATTCTGGCTTTAGTCAGACTTGGAAGTAAAATGAAGTAGAAAGTAAGGTGTAAGCAGCTTTCCATTTCTATACATTATTCTAAAAATCTGGTACAATAGGTAGATTGCTCTCCTTAGGTGCCTATTTCCTAGGGGCATTTCACTGCATTAGCCAGATTTCTTTTGCTATTACAGTTTAGTTTCTAAACATGGAGAATTCCTTAGACCCATTTTGCCTTCTTATGAACTTCTTTTTCTACAGTATCACTCAAAGATTCTAAATGGTTTTATGGACTTTTTATCATACCTAGTAGGATTTTTTTTTTTTTTAACTTGGAAACTCCACATCCATTTGTTTAGGATATCTGTGGTTGAGCAATGCCAGGAAAGTAGTACTCTTCTTTATTGTAGCACTTAAACTCCTTGAACTTAAGTTCCTTTTATACTCTTGAAAATTATTTAGGACCCCAAAGAGCTTTTGTTTGTGTGGGTTACATCTGTTGACATTTACTTTATTAGAAATTAAAACTGAGAATATTAAAATCATTTCAAAGTAAGAGTAATAAACAGTGTTATACATTACATACTTTTAAGAAAAAAACTACTCGATGAAACAAATTTAAGAAAAATGCCATGTTTTATATATTTTATACAGTTTAATGTCTGACTTAATAGGAAATGGATTTTCATATTGTTGGTAATTTCAATCTCTTGCAATAGGTTGTTTTTATTGAAGTATATGAAGAAAATTGAGCTTCATAGATAATATGTATTTGGAAAAGAGAGAAGCATTTTAATAACCTTTTCAGATAGTGTGTATATTCTTCCTTAATACTGTGCCAGTATTTAAAAGCAAATTGTTTCTTCAAGATTAATTGCAGTGTGAAACCTGAAACAATATTCATGAATTTTCATACTCTGTTACCTTAAAATCCATTGGCCTGTCACTTTGAGTGGATCTTTTACCCATGTATGATTTTGCAGCATGTTCCATTGGTCATTTAGAAAATACCCATTCATCAGTTATGCATATCTTCTAAGTGTTAACATGTTAACATTATCAAAATTAAGTTAACACATTAACACGGTATCAAGAAATCACATTTATTAGTATTCCCACCTACCTCATCAGAGAAGTCTAAGTGTTGGGAAACTATCAAGCTCACAGGAATGGATCCAAGTTCTCCAAAATTCTAATTTTCTCTGGAGAACTCCTATTTTGTAATGGTAGTAAGTACTGTTAATTATTTTCCTTGAAGTGACAATCTCACTTTGTTTATATTTGGGAAAATGTCTGCCAAATGCTTAACAATTCTAGTTTGCCAGCCATTCTTTCAAGTAAAAATGGAAAACTTCACTAATTGACCTTACAAGTCCAAGAGTCACACAAGTGCTTTTCTTTGAGGAATCCATCACCATTGTGCATCTGTCTTTAACAGAAAGGCTGTGTATGAATTCATGTTTTGCTACTCAGATTATTTGTGTTTACCCTTCAGAACTGAGATTCAGTGAAATTAGCGGTTTTCTACTTCCTCCTCGAGGGCATCCTCAGGTCAAACTGGCTCTTTTCCCGCCTCCAACAGCATGGCAGTAAAGAGCACAGTGACGGCTGGTGCAGTCTGGTGCCTTGATTTGTGCTCAGATTGCAGCAGTTTCAACTCCCATTGCTTTCAGACCCTTGTAGATGGCAGCACAGAGAAAAGGCAGATAATGTCTGGGTGTTGTTAGGAAAATAGTTGTGACCTCACAGACCACCTGACAGGTCTAACCAATCCCCCAGGGACTCACAGACCATACCTTGAAAGTGCTACTTCATTCAGTTAGTGAAACCCAATTGTCATTGACTAAGTGATTTCAGTAAGTAGATTCTTAAGTGGAGAGATGAGAGGATGATGTAAATGACTAGACAATTCATTTGACCTTCATTCTTTCATAAAATGTTCTTCCAGAACTGGCATAAAAAAATGGCCACAGCAGGAAGTGGGCACAGCTTTAGTAATTAGCACCTTAGCATGACCCAGGTGCATTTGTGTTTTAGGTTTTACAGCATTTGGGAAGACAGCAGGAGTGCCTGTCTTCCTACTATTGAATACTAAATAGTTTCCTCTTTTGTCTGAACCACATTATGTAATAGGAAACTAGACACTTCAGATTATTTCTTGAGGTCACATTTGTTAGAGATATTCCTGGGATTTGTGTGTCAGCTAAGGGCTGACTGACAGCTCTTTGTTTCAATAAAATGATTTATTTTTCATGGTATGATGTTTTCTGATAGCATTAAATATTATATGTGGCTGCTGATTTATAATGCTCAGTTAAATATAAGAAATTAGAATTTCCCTAAAAGTAAGTTTACCCTAAAACTTTATATTAGAAACTCCGATTTTAAAAGAAATGCAGAAGTGAAGTGTTAGCCGGGTTTGTAAAATCTTTTATCAGATCAACAGAGTACACACCATTGGGCAAAATATAACTTTAGTTTTTTTCATTTGTTAATTATTAATGTGATGACTAGCCTTAGGTAGTCTCTTATTTACATCACTGTTTTCATCCAGTTCTAGATGTAAGCTGTATTTTAAGAAGTGATTTTCCAGTGAAGTGCTCATCTTACCAATTTTTTTTAAGACTTTTAGACTTCTGTTTCTGATATGGAAAGTTGTAAGATTAACTATAATCTATTTAATAGGTACACATTAGAATAAAAATCTCATTACTGTTTAAAGTAAACACTAAATTATGCAATTATTTTTTCTCCCTTCTTTGTCTTTCATAGACTAAATTCTTGTTTTCTATATCTACCTTAGCTTTATATAATAGACTGTCTCCTTTCTGATGCTGAACTAATAATATTTGACTCCAATGTTCTAGTTTCCAATCTTGTTTTTCCAGTGCTCTTGCTCTTTTGGAAAACTTCATCTACTTTTTTTTGTTCTTGTTCTTCTCTTCCTGCCCTTATTTTATGACCATTTTCTGCTTGGCAGAAAAATGATACAGATGGCTCTCTGACCACCTAAACAATAACACAGGCCCATGTGCTCACTTTGTTGGGTGATAAACTGTAGCCACTGTGGATTTTGGTGAACTGAGAATTATCTTCTCAGAATGAGATTCACGTGTATCACTTGCTCATTAATATTTTCCCATACTTTGTTCTGATAGAAATTCTTGATGAGGGAGATAGTGACTCAAACACAGACCAAGATGCTGGAAGTAGTGAAGAGGAAGAGGAAGAAGAGGATGAAGAGGGAGAAGAAGATGAAGAAGGTAAAAGTATAGCTCATTCAAGTAATATTGTAAAATACTCTGAAATTAAATTAATTCTAAAGCAGTCCTCTAAAATAGTGGTTCCCAATCTGTGGAGGGCTGGGGGTTGCTCCCGGCCTCTAGTAGGTGAAGGCTAGGGATGCTGTTCAACATCCTACAAATCACAAGACTGCCCTCACCACAACAGAGTGTTCTTTAGCCCAGAATGTCTGTATTGCTCAGGTTGAAAAACCCTGCTCTAAAAGTATTAAGCAAGGAAATCATTTTGTAATATCAGCATAATTTTAATTTGACATTTTATGCCTTTGAGTATAAACTGTGAAAAAGATGCATTCGTGTTGAGTGCATGTGATTCTGTAGCCCAGACATGAATGTGACTGATGAAAGTAGCCAAGTATTTATTTGCTGTTCATTTTGGCAAAATAGAGTGGGGAGGCCAAAAACTGTGTCTGCACAAAGCAGGCATGATGTTCTTCTTCAGCTTCGATTGCTTTATTTCACAGAAATATAAGCTCAGAACTTTATTTTGGTTAAGTCTTAGTTAAAACATCAGAACATACATAAGACTGGCCACTATTTACTTAAATTGCGTATTTGAAAATATTAAAAGTATGTCTTTCCCTTTTAGGACAAAACATATTTTAGTTCTGTCCTAAAATGTAATTATTCTTCTACAACATATTGTATAAAAATAAATTCAGTTTTTTTCTGGTGTCTTTCTTACTTAAAACATTTCCTGTGTACTATATTTAGCTTTAGAATTTCTTTACGTGAAAATACTGTTCAAATAAGAAATACTAAATATAGAAGTTGTCATGCATTAGATAAGAGAAAATTTTGACAAATACACATATTTATATTGGACCCATCTAGTCTGTCACGATGATCCAGTTTTTTCTGAGACTAAATTTCTAACCAGAATTTACAGTTCTTCCAAATTATCAAGCTACTGTTTATAATTCTGGAAATAATATTTTGCCAAACAACAGCATGAGTGCTACCTTTTATGTCTAAATGAGCAAATGACACAGAAACAAAAATAGTATTTCTGGCTTGATTTTGGACTTCTTTGAACTGACAAAAGTTATTAAAATATTTTAAGATATAGTAGAAGACTAGAAATGGCTACTTTGAGCTCACAAATACTATTTTACTGTAGAAAATAGCATTACTGTTAAACTCATAGATTCTAAATACTTATGAAAAATTAGGGGCGCCTCGGTGGCTCAGTGGGTTAAATGGGTTAAGCCTCTGCCTTCAGCTCAGGTCATGATCCCAGGATCCTGGGATCGAGCCCCGCATCGGACTCTGCTCAGCAGGGAGCCTGCTTCCCCCTCTCTCTCTGCCTGCCTCTCTGCCTACTTGTGATCTCTCTCTGTGTGTCAAATAAATAAATAAAATCTTTAAAAATAAATAAATAAAGTCTTTATTAAAAAAAAAAGGAAAGAAAGATTATTATCTGGAGATACATTTTCAGTCCTTCACATTTATTTTTGTAGTTTCATAATTTTGTTATGTTTAATTTCTTTCAGGACAGAAAGTGACTATTCATGACAAAACAGAAATTAATCTAGTCTCATTTCGTCGTACAATTTATCTTGCTATTCAGTCAAGGTAAGATACGTAGCTCAGTTGATCTTTATTTTTGAAAGAGGATGGACAAGAAGATGGGATTTTTTACAATCTGATGACAGAAAACTAGATGGCACTTTAGGGATTCTCAGACTACCTGCCCAACTTCATAGATCCCTGCTGTTGATTCTTTGTTTCAAGAGAAAATTATCTTTATTTGTTTGGAAGGTCTAATTGTGTCACAGAATTTAACTTTTTTTCTTTTTTTTTTTAAACTGTGTCGTTCCTTATAGTTAAATATCACTAATAAAAACCTGAAGACAGCTTGGTGTTACAGAGCTGGCACAGTATGTAATTATAGTGGAAATTTATTATTTTTTTATTTGGTTTCTAATTCTGATTCTAAGCAGAGAAACACTGTTATGATAACTTTTGGACACTGATTTTTTGGTGTGTGCAAATGGAAATGAATATATATGGAAATAAGAATTAGGAAGGTTTTGAGGACCCTTTGAAGTAATGTTAAGTAAGAACTACTGCAATGTCATGTGAATATCTTATTCCCTTTGAAGGCTATGAGTTTGGTTTGGAAGAGAAATAAATGAAATATTAAATGCTTAGTACATCTGTTATTTTTTATGCAAATCAGCCTATTGATTTAATGGCACAGTGTTTACATTTTGCACCGGAGGAGGAATGTTTTCTCAGTTTTGTTTTCTTACTAGGTTTTGTATATTTCCATTTAGTATGATGTAATAGCAAAAATGATTCATACGTAGGAGTCATCCTGTTTTTATTCTGTCTGAAAACTTTTTGGCTTAGATTCATCTTCAGAAAGAGAAATGTTACAAAGCAAAACATTGGCTAGAAATACTTTTGGTTTATCCTTACCTATTTCTTTGCCTTTTGCATGGAAGAAAAATCCATTAACTATGTTTTCATACAAACTTAAAGTGGAAAATGAGAATTTTTTGTTATAGGCAAAAATTCTTACAGTTTGACCTTTCATTTATCCTTTTTTAGAAATTCAACAGTAATCTGTTGTAAACAGCAGATTCACTGTTTTAATATTGGTGTTCACATTAACTTTGAAGAGTTACAGTAGAGCTGTTTGGATAATTACTTAAAGGAAACTGTTTTTTTTTAGTTTACCAAACTTTAATAGTCCTTGAACCACAGAAAATATTTTAAAAATGAAAGCATTAGACAGGTGACAGTCGGAATTACGAGTGATATCAACTCTAGTAATGGCAATACCATTTCATGTGTTGGTATTAAGCGTTTTGAGCCCCTAAATGTCTGGTAAAAATAACATATATATGACAAAGTTTACTATACTTAAAATCTCATACATATTTTAGAAAGAACCACAAAGACTTTGGTAGACCAGACGTTTAAAGGACATGGTCGAGGAATTCATGTAATGGGATCCTGAATCATAAAGTTACTAAACAAATAGCAATCTAGACTAAGAAGTGCTATTATTGGTCGTTAAAACAGCTGAAGTGATTTACTGTGTGTTTTCTTTTCTTCAAAGCAACAGCACTCAATATTAATGACTTTAGGGAGATACAGGTAGACCTTGGTGGGAATTTAAATTGATACGCTCTTTATGGAAAGCCTTTTAGTAACATGAATCAGGAGCTTAATGTTGATGCCATTTGACCATTTTTCGAAATTGACAGAATTATATAGAGTTGTTCAGTACAAAAAAGAAAAAGACCATCTTGTCCAATACAAATAATCAAATGTCTAGTTTATGCCACTAGTGAAAGTTAGGCTAATGGGGAATTGTTATTGGTATGGGCAAGTGGTCTGATTTAATGTGAAATGGAGCAAAAACGGCATAGACTATATAGTACTGTACCAGTAGTATTTTTTAATTAATTTTATTTTTTTATAAACATATAATCCAGTAGTATTAAGTATTGAGATAGGTAGACAGATTCTAGAAGTGATACATTAACATATCAACCATGGTTGCCTTGAGAAGAGATTGGGTTTTTTGTGTCTGTGCTTTCCAATTTTTTTGGTATTTTTCAAAAGTCTTATGTTTACTATACACCAGTCTCTACCAAATATAATATAAATCAAGAATGAAATATAATCATCTAGTCAGATGGCAGTGAGGGCATTTTATACAGTTTGCTTTTGGAAATCTTGCAGACAGAACTAAGGTCTGACAACTGAACTGTGTGGTGATTTTATTTTTTTAATTTCTTTCCTTTTATATTTGTTGACTGATCTCATCAGTACTCTTAACTTCTTACTATCCTGGCTCTTTAATGACCCTCTCTCATTTACATAAAGCATAAAATTGTACAGTTGGTTTTGTTATTGAAAAGTAAACATTCCTGTTTGTTCTTGCTTTCAAATGTTGCTCCACTCTGATTTTTCATTATTGAAGCTCTAGCATCAGAGGGAGGTGGGTCTATCATTTTCCCACCAAAGTTTCTTAGATTGGAAACATCAATAAAACCATTTTGTAAACACAGCTGGAAAACTAGCATCACGTAAAATCATTTTTCTTTACTCTTCCCCTCAGTCACTTTTTATTTGTATTAAACCTGAAATTTATTTGACTTAGCAACGTAAGATAACTGTAATATCAAGCAAATTTAATTCATTTAATATTTACATTTAGTACAACTTCAAAATAGTCTCGTGTAAGGTGTTACCAGATACTTCTCAAATAAAGCAAGAACAAGGAAAATAGACTGTCATACAGCTAACTCACTGGTACTTATTGGATAAACAAAGTTGTAAAGTATTTTTCTTAATTAATTGACTCATTTTTCAGAAATTGCAGGTTTTTTTCCTGCATATTAATTCTGTTTTTAAATCAAAACTAGGAAAGAAAGTGTCACATCTTTCAAAATACTTTTTGGTAATATTGCTGTATTGTTGAAGTTTATCAATTACTGTTTAATATTTTAATCTTAGTGCCAGATATTGTTTAATATTACCTGTTGCAGAAGTGCTTTCTGATATATTTCTTTATTCATTTTAGGTTTTGTTTTTTTTTTTAATTCCATTACATTGTACCATCCTGGGTTATTACTCTGTTATGCTTACAGAAACTCAGTATCAGAAGCTGAGGAATTAGATGAACCATAAAACTAAATTTATAGTCATTCTGTTTCAGTGACTATTTATTTTATACTGCTGATATCAAAAGAATGAAGATTTAAACATTCTACACAAAGTACAAATACATTAGCATTATTCATGTATTGAGCTCACAATAAATTTGGTAATTCTCTTAAGTATATTGGAAGTATTTTTAATGAAACTTAATGAATGTTGTATAAAAGCAAATTTTTTTCCTTGTAAGTGATTTTGTTATTTACTATTTTTATACTTAGTTTTTGAAAATGTAGAAGCACTGTGGTTGGGTATGAATCAAGATAACTTGTAAATGTGGTGATTAAGTACTAGATGTCAGGCTGGGCTCTGGAACATCTCTTCCCTCTTCCTGTCTTAGGTCAGAGATAAGTGGAAATATTTAGCAACATCATAAAAATTTGTCTACTTTCTGTCTATATATTTGCCCATTCTGGACATCTTATATAAATGGAATCATACTTTATGTGGCCTTTTATATCTGACTTTTTCACTTCACGTAAATCAGAGTTCATCCATGTTGTAGTACATCTCAGTACTTCATTCTTTGTAGAATTAAGAGCTATGTCTTTTCTACATATAGGACACAGTACTGTGAAGTTACAGTTAAAAAGTTATTTTAAACAATTGTTGAAGTAAGATCCTTGTTTATGAAAGAACAAGTTTTTACCCTAACTGTTGTGACCACTTTGTCTCTACAGTTTAGATTTTGAAGAATGTGCACACAAATTGCTTAAAATGGAGTTCCCTGAAAGCCAAACAGTAAGTCACAATAATATTGTTTATAAAAATGTTTAAGACAGTTAATATAGGTTTTATGAATTGAAATAATAACTCAGTATTGAATATTCATTTTTTAATGTAGATATTCTAAAATTTTAAAATAACTTAAAAATTAGTTCTGGGGTACTTCATAAATGCTCCTCATTGCAGTGAATTAAATTGGCTGCTTAAACAGGATGTAGGAAAAGGAGGAAGTCTCTGATTCATTGAACTTTACAGAAAATTTTGAGTGTTGCCTGTAAATCAAATGGTAGCTTAAAATACAATAGGAAATTTGTTCCTTAATGAATTGCCTACTCTATCTACTTACTGCACTAAAGCATCTTTTGTGGTAGAAATTATAATGATCACCATACATGTTGTTATATCACTTAAATTGGATATAGAAGACTGTCATTTTTTTCATTCATTAATGCAACAAAATGTATTCAGCGTATACTACATGTCAGACTCTCTACAGGATACCAGGGATTCAATAATCCAGTACATGTTAGCCCCCCCGCCCCTTAGTCCATGGGACTCATAGTCTTACAACTTAGTGTATACTTCACTGTTCAAAGTATCATAGAACCCTAATGCCAAAAATGATAAAGACTGGATTGAGTAGATTATCTTGGGTGTTTTTTCTAATTGCATTCTTATTTAGATTGTTCCCTGCCCATCTCCATTGAGCCAAGGCTTTGGGGGTTTTGTTTTCCACACCCTGGTTTACACATGGTAGACCCAGCAGAGATGCTAGAGTGAATATATCAACTCTAGGCTGTTTCTGTTTCTAAAAGATCTTGACTATCTGAGCTGTTACCGTTAGGTGTAAGTGCTTTGTCTTAAGGCTCTGAATATGATCTGTTACGGGGATTGGCAGACAGTGGCCCAGGCCCACTATCCATTTTTGTAAACAAAATTTTTTTTTTAAGATTTTATGTATTTATTTGACAGACAGAGATCACAAGTAGGCAGAGAGGCAGGCAGAGAGAGAGAGAGGAGGAAGCAGGCTCCCCGCTAAGCAGAGAGCCCCATGCGGGGCTCGATCTCAGGACCCTGGGATCATGACCTTAGCCGAAGGCAGAGGCTTTAACCCACTGAGCCACCCAGGTGCCCCTGTAAACAAAATTTTGTTGGAATACAGCCATGCCCATTGATTGGTATATTGGTATAGTTGTTTTCACCTTATGGCAACAGAATTGACTGGTTGCAACAGGCACTTTATGGCCTCTAAAGCCTGAAGTATTTACTATCTGGCCTTTGAAAAAGTTTACCAATCTTTTTCTAGATTATAAATTTCTTCTTGAAATGCCATGGTATGTAATTTTGAGAAGAAATTATTCTTTTCAAATTTAAAAAGTTCTTTTTTCCCCCTCTTAAAGTTTGTTTATTAGTATATTAGTAACAGTGTACCTATTTGTACCCTGGGTGCACTTGATTTGTTCACTTTTGAAAGGAAATAAATTAGTGAATTAGCCTTTAAAATTATAATTGAAACTGAAATTACTATATGATCTTGTCACATTATTAGAGGAGCATAATTAAGTCATTTTAAGTTTTATTAATATTAATTCAGAGGGTAGTTGTTCTAGAACTAACCTCAACATATTTTGATAGCATTTGGAAGAATGTCTTAGTGCATCTATTTTCATTCACTCAAAAGACTCTCCTAAAATTGCTGTAATATTTAATTAAAATGTTAAAATATTTGATTATGATAAGCCACAGGGAATAACTCTTATAATTGCATTTAGTCTAGGGAGGAAAGTAATTTGTTTTGCAAGTAGCACTGGCATATTTAATATTTAGCAATGCTATCAGCATATTACCATGTTATATTGTTTAAAACCCGATTAACTGTTATGTTATTGTAAAATACAATGTTAGTAGAAAGAGTTGAAAATGCATTTTAATATATCAAATTAACATAATGTGGCAGAACTCAGAAAACCTCATTTTAACTTTTCAGTACTATATTAAATTTTGACATAGTACATCTTTTCAGAACTTACGCATTAATAAGCATTTTAATTGAGGTGAGTTATGATTAATCATAAAAAATAATTTAGTAATGTAATGACATCTGAAAACAACTTCAAATTATGAATTAAGGCCTTTTAAGTATATTGTTTTATAAGTAGATTATCAACTTCCAGAACAGCACTATCCAATAGAACTTTTGCAATGATGAAAATGTTTGTGTTCTACACTGTCTAGTATGGTAGCCACTGGTCACATGTGGATTTTGAGTACTGAAAATGTGGCTAGGGTGACAAAAGAACGAAAATTTTAATTTTATATAATGGCATTTAATTAATTAGCTAGGGGCTAGCATGCTAGACAGCACAGTTCTAGAGTATCTGTTCTGTGCTTCTTTAGGACCCTTTTCCTCCTTCTTGCACATGGATATATGCAGTAAATATAGATAGACCTAAGTTTTAAAAATAGTTACAGTAGGGCGTCTGGGTGGCTTAGATGGTTAAGCGTCTGCCTTCCGCTCAGGTCATGATCCCAGCGTCCTGGGATTGAGCCCCACATTGAGCTCCTGGCTCAGCAGGGAGTCTGCTCCTCCCTCTCCCTCTGCTTCTCCCCGTGCTCATGCTGTCTCTCTCTATATCTCTGTCTCAAATAAATAAAAGAAAAGAAAATATATCTACATATTTACTTAGGTTGCATCTCACATTGTTAAATAAGACAAAATGTCAAAATTGCTAATTGAAAATACTAAGGTGAAATTAAATAGAAGTAAAAATGAACTGAAAAGGTATATATTATATTTTATATAATAAATATATTATTATATTTATATTTTCCATGTATAGAACACAAATACATTGCAGTTACTATATTTGGAAAAAGAATAATTTTTAACTTTTGGTAAATGTTTTGTAGAAAAATGTATACTTAGTTCTACAGCAGTGGTCAAAGAATGAATTTAGGCCTTTTTAAATTTTGTCTCCATTGATCTGTCCATGTTGTCTGAATTTCTTTGTCTATGAAATTGATATAATCAATACATACTTCATTACAATATTTTAAAATTATAAATCATTTGTGATGATGGTATTTCTGGTCCTGGATTAATTCTTGCATTTATTAGCTCAACAGAATTTTTGCACAGGAGTTGTCAAGGCACAAAAATAGCTGATTAGACAGTATATTGCTCCAGTAGTTATGGAATGATTTGATCTATTCGTATAGATTTATCAATAGATCTATATGTGTAGCATTTATTTTGAGGCTAGAAAATCCAGCCACAGAGGTGTTTATTTCCTTTGTTCTTTTAAAAAGACCTTTTATTAACCAGAGTATCATTTAAGTTAATGTTGTAACTGTGCTTATTTATGCTTCTATGAAGACTCATGTTCTACCTTTTCCATACTAATTAAATATATTCCTTAATAATTGAGTTTAAAGGTATATAACTGAATTATTAGGTGGCATATTGATCTGTATTTTTAAAGATTTTGTGTAGACTCTTTTTAGAATATAGTCTATTCAGTAGTCTCTTCATGGTATATCTGTTTCATATAGTAGATATTCTTGAGGTGGTTCATACTTAATATAATTTTAGAATTTTTATAATCAATCTAATTAGCATGGATGACTATGGAAACTGTCAGCCAGGCTAAAGGCTTTGAAAAACTATACAGGTTTGACATAGATTGAATTTCTTAATTTTGTCCTGATAACTTAAGCTCACAAAGCTTTGGAAGTTTTGTGTATTTAGACCCTTATTTAAAATTTCAAACTGTCTCTATCATATTGATAAATTATCATACAGCATGGATTCAGTGTTTTGTGAATCACTAATGCAATTTTTTTTCCAAATAGAAAGAACTCTGCAACATGATACTTGACTGTTGTGCCCAGCAAAGGACGTATGAGAAATTTTTTGGCTTATTAGCTGGGGTGAGCTATAGCCTCATTTTTCTTGTTGGAATTTAGTAGAATCACTAGGGGAATCCATAACATGAATATTGTGAATTAACGTGTCTGCTTTGTGGTCTTGTCTAATATAAGAGCAAGTCTTTGCTAAGAGCTTGTTGCTCTTCCCTCCCTCAGGTTTCCCATCCTCTGTAGTTTCCTCCTTTCCTATTTCATTTTGCAGTGCCTTATTAACATTGCTTATGACTCTTCCAGAACTTTTTGAAATTCTATATGCTTTGTAACAGTTTCCCAAAGAAGACAATTAAATGTTGCCTTTTCAAAATCTCAAAGCATTTTCTGAAGTCAAGTACATATTCAGGCAACACAAATAGAGCATGAGCTAAAATAAGTTTTTAAATCTAAACTGTACCCACAGAGAAATATATTTGCATAGTATATAAATGTATGTGTCTATGATAAGCTACTTGTATAATTTTGTTTTAGTGTATAAATCCCAGGTAAATAGGGATGATATATATTACCTTCTTTTTTAAGCATTCCATCATATAGCACAAAAAGATTGAGTGATATGATATACAAAATATTTACTAATTTTTGATTCAGTAAATTTAGAAGGATCTAATATGCTCATAATGGTATTGAGAGTCAGTGTTTAGTGATACTGACCTTCAGTTTTTTTATTTATTAGCGATTTTGCATGTTAAAAAAAGAATACATGGAATCCTTTGAAAGTATATTCAAAGAACAATATGATACCATCCATCGCTTGGAAACAAACAAATTGAGAAATGTTGCCAAGATGTTTGCTCACCTTTTGTACACTGATTCACTTCCATGGAGTGTAAGTAGATGAACTGATATTTATTCTTCCTTCCTTATCCCATTATTCTCGAATGGGTATTAAGTATAATATAACCATAGTTTTCCTATGTAGGAAATGTACTTTAAAATGATATGTATAACAAACTCATTGTAATGGCTATCTTTGAGGTTATATTCATACAACGTAGGATTGAGAAGTTAGGTAAATAATGTGAGTGTAAAAAACACCACCTGTGATGATTTTAACAGCCCTTTTTAATAGTGCTTTTTAATAGTGATGGCTAATGGTCCTTTCAGGGGAAAATAGAGATTTTCCTCTTCTCTGTGTGTGCACACGTGCATGTATACTCATACCCACATACATGAATAGCTTTGTGGTCCATGCATCATGTAGTCAGTTCTTTAGAACAAGATAAGATATCCTTGATACACAAATGAATACTGGATTGGAATTTAAAATGCATTCATGACGCTGGAATTTATTGTATAACTGCTGTTCATCCAACAGCCATTCATTTAGTTACCAGCTCTGTGCCCAGTCACTTGAGAGAGATACTGGGCATCCAAAGTGAACTATATATGATCTCTGCTTTAAAGAAACATACCATATAAGAAATACATAAGGTAAGATATGCCCATAGCGCCAGTACAAAATAACAATTGATAGGTTATAAGAAAAGTTGAAAGTTGAAAGAAAAGTGAAGTTGAAAGAAAGAAATTACATCCAAGAGGAAAGAAAGAAAGAAGAGGATCACATTGTACTATACCACAAGCTGATGGTAGAATGAGGCAGCAAAGTGACCTTATAAACGTTAGATAGATTCTTGTAATATTGTAAGTACTAAGTATGTCTAGCTGCATTAATAGGTATTTTGTAAGCTGGCCTAGGAGCCTGATTATAATAATATTTTTACTTCTTTTTTCCCCTCTGGGAATGAAAATGAAATCAAAGTTTTAAACAATCGAAGCAAATGGGTTCCTGGAACATAGAAACTGGAGGTTACTTTTAGTTTTATTTGTCTTAAAACATCTCTATTGGCTTCAGTTTTTAAGCCTCAATCTTAGTATTTAGAACAAACCATTACTCTTCCTGTCTTTACCCTTATTGTATATGTACTATACAAAACTGTAGCCTAATACGTTAAGTGGCATTTTGCCCCAAACCCCTATATATATATCTCCACATTTTGATGAGTGAGTTTTAGGAGCTAGTAATCTTTGCTTCAGCATTATATACTTACAGCAGAATATAAAAGCACATTACTCAAGAAAGAATGAACTCTATTTCTGTAGTGTCTTAGCATTATGAAAATTAGCATAGAGAGATAGTCTTAAACTTTGCCAAGAAATAATACTTACTAGGACAAAGAAAGATACTCACAGATAATTCTTTAGAGAGGCTTAAAGTTATAAGTGTTGGTCATTTTGTCTTATCTTTAGAACAAAATAAAATTGTCTTTTAATTTTAATTTTCAGGTTCTTGAATGTATAAAGCTAAGTGAAGAAACCACTACATCGTCCAGTAGAATTTTTGTTAAAATATTTTTCCAAGAACTGTGTGAATATATGGGTCTTCCTAAACTTAATGCAAGATTAAAGGATGAGTAAGTTTATCATTATGCACGTTTTATTCTTACTGTCCTCAGGAATTTTCCTCCATTGTAGCAACCTAAATCCACACTTGGTTGTAAAAACAAGAGTTAAGCCCCTAGGTCTTTGTTCTTCCATTAATTACTACTCTGAATCTCATGTTCTGTGGCACAGGACATCATGTGGTTTTTAATGTTGGATTTAATTGCAGGAGAGTAAACACAGAATCAGTGCCTCTTTTAATTTAGTTAGAACACACAATTATTTTGCATGTTCACTGGAGTTTTCTAATGAGTATTACAGTTTTCTTTTCTTTTTTTTATGATTTTATTTATAGGGATGATATATATTACCTTCTTTTTTAAGCATTCCATCATATAGCACAAAAAGATTGAGTGATATGATATACAAAATATTTACTAATTTTTGATTCAGTAAATTTAGAAGGATCTAATATGCTCATAATGGTATTGAGAGTCAGTGTTTAGTGATACTGACCTTCAGTTTTTTTATTTATTAGCGATTTTGCATGTTAAAAAAAGAATACATGGAATCCAGAGTAAAAAAAGAATACATGGATCCAGACAAAGATCACAAGTAGGCAGAGAGAGGATGAAGCAGGCTCCCTGCTGAGCAGAGAACCCGATGTGGGGCTCGATCCCAGGATTCTGGGATTATGACCTGAGCCGAAGGCAGAGGCTTTAAGTCACTGAGCCACCCAGGCGCCCCTTTATTTTCATTTTTAACCCAAATTTTGAACCTTAGAAAATTAATTAATTTTTGTTATCAATGGTAATTATAAATGTATTTAGATGACTCAGTCATGTAGTTGTTCAAATTATTACACTGAATGAGAATCTTGTTCCAGGACTATCATGTAATCCCTATACCTGCTTTCTTATTTCCAATTTATTCAGATATTACTGTTGACTTCTACTTCATTCACACTGCTGAATCATCCTTTCAGATTTCTTAGTGACTGCCTGCCAAGTCAAGTACTTTTTCTCAATCCTCCTGCCCCCAGACTTTCCGGCCTTACTAATGCAGTTGGCCACTTGCTCACTATGGCTCCTCACTTTCTTTTCATTCTGCCTCACTCTCTTCATGGTCTCTACTCTTCAGCCTACCTCTCCTCTTTGCCACAGTTTCCATTCTGGCTTCAACATGCCCTCTCTGGGCTAGTCCATCGCTCCTCTTGGTTTCATAGACTATCTTACCGGTCCCTGTCTACTTCACCAGGTTTATCTCCTCCCTCTCCATAGACTTCACCAACATTGCTCAGCTTGTTCATGCTTCCTTACCTCCATTTCCAGAGCTAGAAATCCCCTCTTTTGGTCTATCCAGCAAAACTCTTATTTTTCTTGTATGTCACTTTTTTCTGTGTAACAGTTTGTCCTGACCCTGCTGGTTAGTCATTCAGTGTGGCACTCAGAACAACATGTCCAAACCACCTTGTATTGTTCCCATCTCTGGAAATAATGATTGTATGCAGTCTTCTTCCATGATTTCGCCCTTTTGTTGACTGTTTTTTCCCATCCCCCAGTGCTGTGCACAGTGCTGTGTGTGCATGTGTGTGTATATATATACAACAGAGGTTTGTTTTTACTTTATTGTATACATTCACATACTGTGTGTATGTGTGTGTGTGTGTGTGTGATTATGTATGTTATACAATATGTATGTATGTGTGATATATAAAAAAGTTTTTAAAAACTTCTGTGGGGCGCCTGGGTGGCTCAGTAAGTTAAGCATCCAACTCTTGGTTTCGACTCAGGTCATGATCTCAGGGTTGTGAGATCAAGCCTGGTGTTGAGCTCCGCACTCCTCGAGGAGTGTGCTTGAGATTCTTTTTCCCTCTCTCCCTCAGCCCCGCACCCTGTACGCCCGTGTGCCTAGGCTGTCTCTCAAATAAATAAATCTTTTTTAAAAAAACCTCCTCTGTTGTAAGTTTAGTAAATTATGACTTGACCCTACTTATTTCATTTAAATATCATGTAGCCTAATCTAATAAATTATATAAATCACTTACTTAATTGTATTTCATTTACCAATTTAAAAATACATAGAAAATCTGAAAAATTATAATATAAGAAATTTGCCTTTTTATCTTTAAGCAATGTGTTCTCTTTTGTTCATTTTCTTTTCTTGTTTTAGAACCCTACAGCCATTTTTTGAAGGGTTATTACCCCGAGATAATCCAAGAAACACTCGGTTTGCCATCAACTTCTTCACTTCAATAGGTCTTGGAGGTTTAACGTAAGGATAGTTTTCAAAATTTTATTTTCATCTTATAAAATTATCTCACAGGTGCCTTCAAAGCAGAAACTAACAGAGATTATATCTTTAATTAGGGATGAATTGCGTGAGCATCTCAAAAACACACCGAAGGTCATTGTGGCACAGAAACCAGATGTTGAGGCAAATAAATCCCCTTCCTCTTCCTCTTCCGCGTCCTCCTCTTCAGAGTCGGCCTCCTCTGCCTCTGACTCGGACAGCAGTGACAGTAGTTCAGAGTCTTCCAGCGAAGACAGCGGGTCTTCATCCAGCAGTAGTCAGAGCTCTGCCTCAGGTATGGAAACTCACTTCTAATGGATTGGGATCTTTTCTAACAAGTATATTGCTGGTGATGTTTACAGCAAGGGAAGAAAATAATTTGATTGCTTGATTATTTTAGAGTTCAGTTGTTTAAAAGCCACAGTTAATAATATAAATGATCATCTATCACTGCTGGAGCCTGTAGTGAATTGCATCATTTATAATGCTAAGATTACCTATTGGAACCCTCTTCATAGAAATGAAGATATTTCATTGCAAATACTTACTTGAATGACGACTGCAATGCCATTCATTCATAGTTTCTATAGTCCAGTTTATAGCTTTCCTGGTAGTTCTATTTAAAAAAAAAAAAAATTTAAAAAGTTTTTTACTGTAGTGAGGTCATGTTAGCTACCGAAAAATGCCATGCATTCATTGCACACATCGTAAGTGTAAATGTTCATGAAGAGAACACATCCACATGCTAGCTACCCATAACCAGAGTTACTAGCTACTGCCGCTCCTCCCATCCACTGCCTCAGGGCAGCTACTACTCTCATTTGTAATTCCGTAATTCATTATGCCTGTTTTTAACTTTATTACTGTGTTTTGTGAACTCCTTTGTGTCTGGCTTATCTTTCACAATTACTTTTGTGAGATTCATGTGTAACACTGCATTTAGTTATAGTTCCTTCAGTCTTATTGCTATATAGTTTTCCACTGTATGAATATGCTACAGTCTATTTAACATCCCTTCTACTCAGAAGCAATTTAGATATATAAATAGTAGTCCTGTGAATATCCTTATTCATACTCGGTAAGTATGTGTATATGTACCTATGTGCATTTCCATTGGGTTTGTCCTGGGAATCACTGGGTTGTAGGTTGTATGTATATTTAGCTCTAGTAGTTACTGCCAGCTTTGCAAGTCAGTATTTCAGTTTACACCTCCATTAGCCATGTTTGAGAGTTCCAGTAGCTCCCATCCTCTCAGCACTTTGGTTGGATATCTTCATTTTAACCATTCTGGTAGATATGTAATGGCATTGCATTGTGGTTTTAATTTGCATTTTCTCGATCATTAATGAAGTTGAACACTATTTTATAATGTTATTGATCATTTGGGTATTTTCTTTTTTGTGAGTGTCTGTTCAAATCTTTGCTACCCTTCCCCCCCTTTTTGTTGTTTTATGAAGTTGTCTCTTCTATAAATTTGTTGTTCTTTAGGTTTTCTGGATGTGTATCTTTTGTCACATGTATGTATTGCAAATAGCTAGTTCCATTCCATTTTTGTCTCTCCCAGCCTGTGCAGCTGCCAGAGCTCTGTTGGTCTCTCTGTCCCTCAGCAGTAACCCTGGATCAGCAGATGCTCATAGGGAGAAAGTGGCTGTAGAATGTCAGCTTACTTCTCCATGGTTCCGCCCTCTCTAGAATGCTGGCCCTTAATCAACTTGAAAGAAAGTTGCAAATAGTACAGAAAATTCCCATATAGCCTTCACTCAACTTTTCCTAGTGTTAGTATTGTATGTAACCAGAGTTCCATTACCGAAGCCAGGAAATTAACATTGTAACAATACATTAAACATATTCTTACTTGAATTTCACCAGTTTTTCCATTAATGTCCTTTTTCTTATTCCAGGATCCTACTTGGATTGAACTGAGTTTCTTCTTAGTCCTCTATAACCTATTCCTCTCAGGCTTTTCTTGGCTTTAATGGCTCTGAGACTTTTGAAGTCCTCTGGTCACTTATATTTTAGAATTGGTCCCTCAACTCAGATATCTGTCTGATCTTTTTACATGATTAGAATGAGGTTATGCATTTTTGGACAGAATACCATAGAAATAATGTATTCTTAATGCATCTTATCTTGGAGTTCATAATATTGATAGTCTTATTGGTGACATTAACTTTGATCACTTGGTTAAAGTGATATCTGCTCAATTTCTTTTGAGCAGAAAAGGACAGAAACTCCTTTTCTCTATAAATTAATGTCTTGTAGGGAGATAATTTGATCCTATGCAAATCTTCTCTTTCTCCTCTACCTTTCGCTCTTTAATTTTAGCATCCTTTGGATCTTGTCTGCAATACTTAACTACTGTGGTGTTTGCCGAATGTGATTTTTCCATTTGTCTTTTTTCTTCTGCATTTAGTGATTGAATTTCTTCTGCAAGAAAGAATTATCCCTCTCCCCCACCCCCACTTATTTATTAACTTTATATTTTATCAGTGTGGACTCTTGGGTATTTATCTGAATTAGTTAAAATCCATTACTATAATTTATTTTATTGTTCAGGTCATTTCAGCTTTGGCAGTTAGGACTCCTTCAAGTTGACCCTCTGTTCTTTCAACATATACCTATCCTGTCCTTTTTTTTTGAGTACTGCCTTTCTTTATAATATCTCAAGCTGTTCAAGATCTTTAGTGCCTTTAAGCAGAAGATTTTAAATTTTTATCTGGCATTTCTAGTTGTTTTCAGCAGGGTCACTGGTCTTCCACAGCTTTTTCCATCCTTCCTAGAAGTAGAAATACAGTAGTAAAGGATTTTTTTAAATGTGCCATTTTCTGAGAAGGTCTGTTTTGTTTTCCCCAGGATCAACCCTGTTTTCTTCCATCACAGTATCTTAGCCTGAATAAGAGATAGTCTTATTGTCCAAAATCATATCATTTCTTACTTTTTAATGCATATTTAGTGGCAGGAAAAAGTAGTTGGGAGGTTGATCTTTACACTCTTGTTCTCTGGCTTATTACACTTAAAAGAGTGTGTGTGGCAGCCAGAATTGTGGGACTCTCAGTATTTTATATTATTAGAGTAAGATTGCATTTGCCCACAGGAAGTCTTATTCTTGAATCAAAATACGTTAACATTGTTCATTTAATATTCACCTCTTAATTCTAAAGAATTTGTTATTTCATGGTACATGTTTTGAGAACAGATGATAACACAGCTTGAATTGCTGCAGTAAGGAATCTTGCTGATTCAAAATTAATTTGCCTCATCATACAATTTCAGTAGAGAGTTTTCTGTTTTATTAGTAAAATATTAAGTAGCATAAAAGCAATATGAACTGTACCAAAATTAGAAAATTGTAAAGCAAACACCCAACAGTGGGTTGGTTGCCTGTTATGGTAGGGCTCAGGGTTTTATGTCAGCACTGCCCTGAGAGTGGTGAATAGTAGGGACAGAGAGACGTTGATTTAGCATGCAGCCAGATGGTTTCTGCTTGGGTAGCTGCAGCTCAGCTGAGCTGCTTGGTAGGAACCACAGAAATAAATCCTTAGTGGCAAACCAATGGACTATGCCAAGGGTAGGCATTTGGCAGAAGAAATACAGGTTGGTACAGTGAGATTTAGGTGGAGACAGGATGAAGGTAGGCAGTTTTCTACCATATTTTCTTTCTGTATATGTATGAATTTGACAGAACTTTTGGTCTTCTCAGCACCTTTGATTTATGTACCCAAAGTAAATAACACAGATAAACTGATTAAATTTGTTTTATAGCTTAAAATTTCACTGTGATTATTTAATATTTATATTTGTGATTGTATCAGTAAGATTGAATTGTTCTCAGCCATTTCAAAAGAGTTTTCTCAGAAATCAAGATAAGGCCTATGATTATGTCTTTTTTTTTTTTTAAAGATTTTATTTATTTATTTGACAGAGAGAGAGATCACAAGTAGGCAGAGAGGCAGGCAGAGAGAGAGGGGGAAGCAGGCTCCCCACTGAGCAGAGAGCCTGATGCGGGGCTTGATCCCAGGACCCTGAGATCAGGACCTGAGCCGAAGGCAGCGGCTTAATCCACTGAGCCAAGCTCAGTGTCTTAACAAGCTTCTCTTCCTGGTGTAGATACTGCTTCTCTGATAGCACTGGAGAGCAGAACTATTGTTTTTGTAGGAAGAGGTTTTTACTTGAAAAATACATATTCATGCTGTTAAACAAACACAGTAAACAAACACAGTAACCCCACTTCCCCACCTTTAGGAGTGATGTTGCTCACATGTGTGCTCACTGTGTTTTTCTTAACATGTCAGATCTGAATAATATTCCCTATGACATAATGCACAGGGCTGGAATTTCTGTTTTTGAATAAAATTTATAAGTGTACCTGTTAGTTAGGAAATGTACCTGTTAGTCACTTTATAAAAAATTTTACATTTGCTATAGTTTATTTAAAGTTTCTGCTTATAGCTTTGAGTCTAAGGATCAAAACAGTACTTTGGTTAGATAAGATACGTATTCTTAAAAATTACTCATCTTGTAAAATATCCTGTTGTAAGACTTGCCATTCAATTTAGTTTTGCATCCAGTTTGTCTGAATTAATAAACCTACAGTGGATTAATAAATATAATTGTTAAATTATTAAATTAAAGATTAAAATAAAAGCTAATGATTTCATTTTATGTATGCAGATAAAGATAGAAGAAAGAAGGGACAAGGAAACACCAGAAGTAAGGAAGTAGATAAATTGATCAGGAAACAACAGACCCATGATAGGAAACAAGAAGAAAGAAGGCCAGAGCAAAGGCATCGGGAAACACGGACTGAAAGAGAAAGAAGGTCAGAAAAACATAAAGATAAAAATTCAAGGGATCCAAACTGGAGAGATCCCATAACAAAGTACACTTCAGATAGAGGTGTTCCTTCTGAACGAAATAGTTACAGTAGAATCATGAATGACAGAGACCAAGAAGCACACACAGATTTGGAAAATAAGTATGGTGATCCTAAAAAGAAGAGAGGAGAGAGAAGAAATTCTTTTTCTGAAAATGAGCACAGACACCGAAATAAAGACTGTGAAAATGTTATAAGAAAAGATAGATCAAAGTCAAGAGAAAAGAATAGAAAACATTCAGGTTCTAGAAGTGATGAAGATAGGTATCAGAATGGTGCCGAAAGGCGATGGGAAAAATCTAGCAGATACTCTAAACAATCCAGAGAATCAAGCAAACATCAGGACTGGCGAAGAGAAAAGTCTCCAACAAAGCAAAAAAAATAGTTCTACAAAATTACAGAAACTGAACATGCCTTATATTCAGTTGAAACAAATTATTTTTTATATTAACGAACTTTATAAGAATTCTTGTATAAAGTACTGGTTTGTATTTGTACATTTAAAAATTTTTTCATTTTAACATGTTTTATAATTGGTACATCTCAAGGCCCTCCACATAAAATTATTTGAGAAGTTTCACCAGAGAGGGATGTAATTCTTGCTTATATTTTGTTAATAAAATGATCAAATGCTCATTGAATCAGTGATTTTTTTTCCATTGACAAAATTTTTTTTCCTGGTAATGTTTCCAGTTGTTTATAGAATTATTATAAGAATTATCAGTGGCTTTTTTTTTTTTTTAATAACTAGAGACCAAAATAGGTGAACCATTTCAATGTGATATTTTTGCTTTGTCAATGAGATGCTATGAACCTTTTTAGGAGTCACCGTTTTTTTTTTTAATAGGAATTATTTCAAGTTTTATATTACATCTTGAACAAAGTAGATATGTATAATTTTTTTAACAAGTGTTTTGATGAAGCTAAGGGTATATTAGTCTTTTAAACAGATGCATAGCTATATTATTTAGAATTAGGACTTATCAATAACATTTCTTCTCTTTGGACTGCTAGATTAATGTTTAATTGAAATTCTTTGTGATTAGTGCTTTTTCTCAGCCTTGAAGTTATATCATTGTTGGTAAGGTAATGTGTATTTAACTTTTAATTTAGGTTAATAGGTCATTGGAAAACATATAGTCATGAGAAATGTGAACAGCCTAACTGTGAAATAATTCCAATTTTTTAAAGAATTTTGAAGCTTTCCATCATTGTAACTCTCACCAGTTAACATGTGACCATATTATTTATTACTTTTGAAATAAAATATTGCCTCTGAAGTTTTAGATTTGCTGACATTTAACCTACTTACCAAATAGACTGCTTGTGCTTGTTCACTTTTAAAATACATAAAGTCCATTTTAGCTGATGTCTGGTTTCAAGAATAATGGGACCACCATCTTCAATGTTTGACTTTCAGGCATTCTCTGATTCAAAATGTTTTTTATTTTTGTTCAAAAACTTGAGTATAAATAAAGTCCATATAAATAAATAAATATTATCCTCTCCTCCTATCCTCCTGCCCCTGCAAGAGGGGGAAAAAAAAAAAAAGAAGAACATTAATTGAATATGACAGCCTGAAAAAATTCTTCTTAGTGTTTTCTCCTACTGTGGTGGTTAGAAGATGCTGAGTTGTCATTAGAAGGTACTGTCATGGACACAGTGCATTTCACAAAACTATGAAGCTTAGCAAATCGGATTTATTTAACACATAGGCTATGAGCCCTAAAGGAAAATAAATGAGAGTTTATTTTTGTAACCGAACACTGGTCTTTGGGGGTGGTAAAAAGGAAGAAAATTGGAATAGAAGTTTTAGCTTATTTTCTTCACTTTAAGTTTATAATTTCTAAATGTAGAAATGGGAAATCGTTTGATTTATTAAGTCGTTAAGACCTTAAAGATTTGTGAAAATACATAATTTTTTAAATGTAACAAATATTGAGCTTCTATTATGTACACAGACCTATTCTAGGAATATAAATAAACCATGAAGAAAACGAGTTTCAACTCTTAACAGGGCTGATACTATGGTAGGGAGATGTGGTGGTCATGATACTGGGGGGTTTGGGGTGGTTGGTAATTTTCCATAAGAAGGTCAGAGATCTCGGATAAGGTGATGTTTGCCCAGATTGTTGAAGGAAGTAAGACCTTGAACCCTGTGGACTACTGTGGGGAGAACCCAGGCAGAAGGGATTGCTGAAGTATAGATGTTTATTTATAACAAATATTGCCTGGGAATTTACGTTAACGTTTCCTATCCAACTAGTTGGATTTTTCTTCTCCTCACTATCTTATTTATTTTTAAGAAAAGCAGTTAACACCTAACTCCCTTCAAGCAGAAAAATATCTGAGTATAACTGAGTCCTATCAGGGCACAGTCAATAGGGGCCTGGGGCAGAAATGGACTTTTTTTTTTTTGCATTCAGGGTGCATTTCTAGCACATCAAATGTGATAGGCTCAGATGCCCTGCCCTGCGATTTGGGCAGGTTTTTCCACTTTCATCCTTTTAAAATGCAGACAAGAAACATGTTGACTATGTCTGCTGTTTCTGAATTTTTACTTCTTAGGATTAGCATTTTTTGAGGATCAGCTGAGTCCTGTGTATTTTGCGTGCCATTACTCACTGTCAGTTTCTCAACTTCTCTACGTCCAAGGTTTCTCTATCCCTACTGTATCCCCAACCACCTGCACCCATGGTCATTCACCTTATGTTGACTTCAAAATCCACACCATCTCGGAAAACTCTTCTTCAAGCATCGTACTTTGACCACTGCCCATCCCACTCACTCGCTCTAGTAGTGCTAGTCTAGGAATCCGATCATTTCATCAAAACTTCAGATGTACTGACTTTGTTAAAATTTATCATCGCCCCCCCGATTCTTTCACTTGCTTTTAGGAAAAGACTCAGGTTCATAGTGAGTAATTTATTACCATTTCATTTGAAAACTATTTGGCTAACTGCACATTTAAGTCTTTACTAGGTTTTTATCTAATCTATACCATTTGCTGGCTGTTGCCTTGGGCAGGTCCTTTATCCTTGGTGTCTCCATTTGTGTCCATTTCCTCCTGTGGACAGTGGTAGAATGGTAACTCCCTTAAATAGTGAATGGTCTCTGTGGCATGAACAGGGCCTAGAGCTAAATGCTCAGTGTTAAGGTCTTTTTTTTGTTTTTGTTTTTGTTTTGTCAATAAATGCTGACATAGTACCAGTAGACCAGGAATTGCAAACTCGAATACAGAGGATAACACAAATAAGATAAATCAGCTTGGGGAATGAACTGGAGTGACTGAAAGGCAGCAGTAGTTACTCAGCTCCATCCAGTTGTGCCTATAAAAAAGACCAAAGATTGACAAAGCTGCCTGATTCTCAAGAGAATTGAAGAAGTAGGATTTTTATATGACTCCTGATTTTTAAATGTTGACAGTGATTTTTTTTTTAAGATCAAAACGGCCCGAAGTTGTTAAAAGTCCAAACAAAATGATCCCTTCAGGTGAATTGCCTTTTGAATAGCTAGTTTGTGATTCCACTGTAGTTCCTCAAAAGCTATTTATTATTTAATCTTGAAATGACAGGGTTTGTTATACAAACCTCATCACTGTTTCATTTTCTGCTCTTCATTAGAGTGGGAGGATAAGTCCTATCATCTTTGTTAAGAAAACTCATTTACTTCGCTAACCTCAGCAGTCCCTCTTGCTCTAAAACTTTTGCCAAGTTTTAGTTCTGTATTTCATTGGCCTACTCCTTAAAATTTCGTATATCCAAAATACAATTCATTTTTCCTCAGATCCTCAGCCTTTCTAACTGCAGCTGATTCCACTAATCTCCCATCACTTTTGAGTTCCCCTTTCCCCAAACCACCAAACTGCAACAGTATCTTTTTAAAAGATCTATTAGTTATGTTAGAGAGGGAGAAGGGGAGGAAAGGGCAGAGGCAGAAGGAGAGAATCTTCAAGCATACTCCCTGCTGAATGTGGGGGAGCCCACTGTGGGCTGGCTCTCCTCTCAGGATCTGTGAGATCACGACCTGAGCCAAAACCAAGAGTCTGATGCTTAACCAACTGAGCCAACCAGACACCCCTGGATTTGGACAGTAGTTTATGCATCATCCTCCTGTGTACCAAGTACTGCTCCAAAGAGAGAAAAAGCAAACAGACCTTGTCTTTTTTTTTTTCTTTTTTTAAGATTTTATTTATTTATTTGACAGAGATCACAAGTAGGCAGAGAGGCAGGCAGAGAGAGAGGAAGGGAAGCAGGCTCCCTGCTGAGCAGAGAGTCCGATGTGGGGCTCCATCCCAGGACTCTGGGATCATGACTTGAGCTGAAGGCAGAGGCTTTAACCCACTGAGCCGCCCAGGTGCCCCCAGGCCCTGTCTTCAATTGACCCTAAATCCTCACAAGGGAAAACAAAGCTTAAAAAATAAAAACTTGGGGCACCTGGGTGGCTCAGTGGGTTTAAGCCTCTGCCTTCGGCTCAGGTCATGATTCCAGATCCTGGGATCCAGCCTCGAATTGGGCTTCTGCTCAGCAGGGAGCCTACTTTCCTTCTCTCTCTATCTGTCTCTGCTTACTTGTGATCTCTGTCTGTCAAATAAATAAATAAAATCTTAAATAAATAAATAAATAAAAACTTAACACTTTGAAAAATGTTAGCTATTCAGAAAAACCAAAAGAATAGTGCAGTGACCACCTATAAACTACCTCGATTCTGATTTCAATAATCTAAATCCTTATTTCCATCCTGTTACTTTCTTCTACACGGAAGTTCAATGACTCCTCCAGCTTACAGGATAAATATAAATTCCCAGCCTGTTATTCTAGTTTCTTTAAAGTTCAAGTGTTGTAGATAAACAATGAATCTTGGAACACGGCATCAAAAACTAATGATGTATTTTATGGTGACTAACGTAACAATAAAAAAAATTTTTTAAAGTTCAAGTTCAACCTGTCTTAATGATTGTTCTAGGAGCTGCCATCCTTTGATCACTACTACATTGTAGAATGTTTAGCGGCATCCCTGACCTTAACTGGTAGATACTAGTAGCACGTTTCCCAGTCCTGACAAGGTCAATCCATTGTCTCCTGACATTGCCAACTATGCCCTCCAACGCAAAGTATCCCTAGTTGACCACCGTAACCATAGACCTAGCACTTAGGAAATACTCTTCAGTGGATCACAATGATAGTGTTTGTTCTGGTAGAACCACTGTGCCTATTCATATAAAGCTATGTCTATTATACTGCCCTCTTCTTTTTGCAAGGGCAAGATTTGTTTTAAGAGACTATTTAATAGAGAGAGGAGTCAAGATGGCGGAGAAGTAGCAGCTGAGACTACTTCAGGTTGCGGGAGATCAGCTAGATAGCTTATCTAAATATTGCAAACACCTACAAATCCAACGGGAGATTGAAGAGAAGAAGAACAGCAATTCTAGAAACAGAAAATCAACCACTTTCTGAAAGGTAGGACTGGCGGAGAAGTGAATCCAAAGGGACGGGAAGACAGACCCCGGGGGGAGGGGCCGGCTCCCGGCAAGCGGCGGAGCAACGGAGCACAAAATCGGGACTTTTAAAAGTCTGTTCCGCTGAGGGACATCGCTCCAGAGGCTTAACTGGGGTGAAGCCCACGCGGGGCCAGTGTGGCC